AATAGTTGACCCAGATGAACTGTTTGACCTGAAATGAAAGAAAAAGTGTGCAATTTAGATTTTTGATGCTGCATTTATAATCTTGTATTAGAAGATAAGGGGCAACTAAAGACTGCCCCAGCTCCCACCAGCAGCCTTAAAAGGATGTGTCTGTACAGCTGTAGTATGCCCAGCTCAGTTATCAGTAACCATAACCCCAGGCTAATGCTAGCTCCTCAAAGTCAAATGAATTATGGACCAGAACATCTACCGTGACCACGTGTGTTTACGTCATTTAATGTACAACAGAACACACACGTCTCTTGGCACCGTTGACGGTTCGCTGACAGTTACATTATTAAGTTTAAATTCAAACTGACGTGTAGCTACCGTTAGCTAGCTTTCTGTCATGCAAACCTTAGTGAACTAACCGTTTAAAAACACATTTTTAGAGCATGTCAATATAACTAGGGGCCGTGCTACAATCAGAAAAGTAGTTACGTATATGTTGTGAGATAAAAATTAACACATACTGAAAGATAAAGTTGGTTAGCCTCGCGTTAGCTAACCGGAGAAGGTGCTCCGCTTGTTTATAAATGTGGTCTGTATGAGCTATGAGGTTGCCAGGTTCTGTGATAGCAATCCCCCTTCTGCGTATGGCAAACGAATAAGAGGTCGTGCCTGTTCTGTATTAGTAGCGTAAGTGTGTGCCTTATTTCTTTCTATTAACACTAGTTGATATTTTTGTGGTTACTGCAATTAGGTAAAAACCAGTTGAGTAAAGTATCTATGTACATTTACTGAAGTATTGTACTTAATTACAATTTTGAACAACTTGTACTTTACTTGAGTAGCCATTTACATGTTGCTACTTTGTACCTTGACCCCACGACAATTCAGAGGTAAATCGTGTACTTGTACTCCACTACATTTGTTTAGTACCATACATTACTTTGCATATTTTGTTTAATGATGTGAACAACAACATTATTATTATTATTAATAAAATGAGCTGCACCCAGCTTTGATAACACTAACATCAATAATCATAATCAAAACATGTAATTTATATTATTCTGAAATGGACAAATCTGCCAATGAGTAGGCTACTTACCCTACTTTTAGTACTTTAGGTATATTTTGATGGTAATACTTGGTAAAACTCTGGTACTTCTACTTTTAAGTACTTATTCCACCTATGGTAAAAACAGCCTATGGTTGCCATGTTCATTACCCAACATGTTTATTACCATACAATTAAACCATGTATAGTACCAAACATGGCAACCAAAGGTTCCCCAATGACAATAACATATACTATAGCTCTACTTGTTCACCCAATTTATTTACCAAAAAAAATGGTTAATCACCATATCTGATTTATTTATGCTACATTCTTTCATTCATTGTTAATGTGTGCACATTGAGACTGCTGGGGTACATTATATTGCCTACATTATGAATTTGCAGTTGATTCCCAGTGTCTGCCTGTCCTAAATGAAGCTCAGCGCAAGTTCTTTCAGGAAGACTGGTATACATTCACTCCGCAGTTGCTTATAATCAGCTCATCACGGGCTTCCTGCTAACCTATTACATTCACTTTAATCTCAGCAGCCAATCACCGTGCTGCAGCCAAACTTTAAAATGGTTCCCCTCTCTCCTGCAGTCAGCTGTGATTTCAGGTGTTCATGCTGCCGAGCGACATACCCGTTTCAGATCCTCGTAGCAGATATCAAGCAAGAATAGGAAGTCTTGCAATAGCCAGCAGACTGCCTGAGCGATCAGAAGTCTTGCAATAGCCAGCAGACTGCCTGAGCGATCAGTAGTCTTGCAATAGCCAGCAGACTGCCTGAGCGATCAGAAGTCTTGCAATAGCCAGCAGACTGCCTGAGCCATCAGAAGTCTTGCAATAGCCAGCAGCAGACTGCCTGAGCCATCAGAAGTCTTGCAATAGCCAGCAGACTGCCTGAGCCATCAGAAGTCTTGCAATAGCCAGCAGACTGCCTAAGTCATCAGAAGTCTTGCAATAGCCAGCAGACTGCCTGAGCGATCAGAAGTCTTGCTCCATGCAATAGTCAGTATCACAGGGAGCGCAGCTCACCCCATTCTATTTTCCTTCTCTCTCCGCTCACCCTATCCTATTTCCCTTCTCTCTACCCCCACTGGGCTCTGTTGATCATAACTGTGCATCTACTGCCCATATACAAAACAGTTTTGAAGCGAGAGAAAACATTGACAAAGGACATAAATGTCTGGACAGAAGAATATGTAGCCTGTTTGCAGGAATGTTATGACTGCACTGATTGGGATATGTTTAAAGAGTCTTGTGGTGTCGACTTAGATGAACTTGTTGATGTAACATGCTCATATACAGCCTTTTGTAAAGACATGATTATTCCGTGTAAGCAAGTACAAATATACCCTAATAACAAGCCATGGGTGACCAAGGTGGTTAAGTCCAGCATTCAGAAAAATAAACAAGCTTTTAAACAGGGAAGTGCCTCTGATCTGCATAATCCTAATAGGGAACTTAAAATAGAAATTCTGAAAGCTAAACAGAATTTTAAATCTGAACTTCAAAACAAAATGGCTGCAAACAACCTTGGCTCAGTCTGGAGTAGCATGAAAACCATAACAGGCCTCCGGGAAACAAAGAATAGCTGCCATATCACTCTGGATGGCTTTCATTCAGATGTTGAGTTTGCAAATGCCCTAAATCATTTTTTTTCTCGATTTGACACATTTCATTTCAGTAATAATATATCTGAACTAAAGCTTAAACTTGAAGACAATAAGCATTTTAATATAGACCAGAGGGAAGTGGAAAAGGCCTTCCATTTAGTAAAAATAAATAAGAGTCATGGACCTGACAACATCTGCGCAAAAGAACTTAGCCCTGTGTTCCACTACATTTTTAATATGTCTTTACAGACACAGCATGTGCCAAAGGTTTGGAAGGATGCTGTGGTAGCCCCTGTTCCCAAATCCAGAGGCCACACAACTCTTTATGATTTTAGACCAGTTGCACTTACATCAAATCTAATGAAGACATTGGAAAAACTAGTCAGAGCAGAAATCTTAAGGAAGACTGAGCATGCACTCGATCCCATGCAGTTTGCTTACAGGCCACACAAAGGAGTAGAGGATGCCACGGTCACCTTATTTAACTTACTTTTTTAAATACTTGGAGGGAAATGGATCTCATGCTAGACTTTTATTTGTTGATTTTTCCTCTGCTTTTAACACAATTCAACCTCGTATTTTAATTGGCAGACTTTTAGAACTATTTGAAATAAGCAATAATCTTATGGGCTGGATTCTTGATTTTTAACCAATAGGACACAAAGAGTGAGGGTGAATGGGACCTTATCTGATCAAGTCAGCTCCTCCACTGGCTCCCCACAAGGATGTGTCCTTTTGCCACTATTATTTATACTTTACACTAATATGTGTCAAAGTAGGTGGGAAAATAGGACTATTTTAAAGTATGCAGATGACTCTGTAATTGTTAGTAGGCTCCAGGACAATGAGACCAGCCACGGCCCTGTCATTGACGACTTTGTCAGGTGGTGTGAGGAGTCCTATCTACAACTGAACATAAGCAAAACCAAGGACATGATCATTGATTTTAGAAGACATCCCCACATACATGAAGTCTTAACAATCCAGAATCAGAAAGTAGAATTTGTGCAATCATACAAATATCTCGGGACAATTATTGACTCAAAATTGAGCTCTGATCCAAACTGTGAAGCTGTGTGCAAAAGGGGGCACCAGTGTTTGTACTGTCTTAGGAAACTGTCCTATTTTAACATTGACAAAACAATGATGATCATGTTTTATCGAGTCAATTCTGTCTTTTTCACTAATGTCATGGTTTGGTAACCTGACTTTTTTAAAGAGCAGAAACTCTCTGAGTCAGATCGTAAAGTGGTCCAGCAGACTGATTGGTGAGCCACAGCTAAACCTGGAGACCCTGTACCTCCGGCGGTTATCCAGTTCGATATTAGATGATGACTCCCACCCTCTGCACTCAGAATTCAAGCTTTTTCCTTCGGGCCAGAGGTTAGTTGTCCCAAAGAGTAGAACGAAGCGGTATAAAAACAGTTTTATCTCAGCAGCTATTGCACAAATTAACACACGAGTGTCACACAGATGCCTATTTTTATTTATTTATTTAATTATGAATTTTGAATGTCCATGTTTGTACTAATGTTTTCCTTCTTAAAATGTTTCTGAAATAGTTAGAGATTTGGTTGAGCAGGGTATACTTGTACTTTTTACTAGTCCTTTTATTAGAGATGTGTCTGTTGTTTGTTCTTAGTGTCAGGATGGATCCCTTGTCTTTTTCTCTGCAAACAAAATCTACCTACGGGTACAAATAAATAACCTGACCCCGCACATTCCTGTCTAACCCTTGCTTGCTTCCCAGTTTAGACTCCTCGCATCACGTAAGGTAAGTACATGCCCACATTCAGCGCAGCACTACTATCATATCACTCACGGATATTATCGTAATGATTCATTGCATCGCATCATTCGTTTGTTGGGGGTTTCTCTTTCCCTAGTTCATACCCGGCCGCAGTCAGGCTCCTTATCTATATCATTTATATACATTTCTGCCTCACTGCATAAATCTCGGTCTAAATCCTCAATCATGTCTCAGCAGAATCCATGCCACCTGGTAAGGTAAAATCCTTCGTCAAGTGGTCCGATCTTAATCTTTCATCCACTTTTCTCCTTTTTGGGGGTTCTCTATATGCTCACGGCTGCATCCCCCTTTGGATATACGATTTCAGGATCGAGGTCTAATCGCCAAAGACTTAACATTTATCATATGGCATGTGTCAATAAATGTTCTTTAAACAAAATGAAGTCTCTCCTGATTGAAATGAGGACTGTTATTGTATATAATGATACAAATGACTATATGTAAATACATATATGGCAACATTTCTTATAACTAGTAGATTCATGTCTTTCTGATGTGTATGTGTCAATGTGCAAAAAGAGGACTCATAGGCTTTCATATAAAATGCTTTTATTCACAAGTTGTCCAAGCTCCTTCAAGGGTAGGCCTGCCGCCGCTGAATATATTTGGTTAACTGTATACATCTGTAAGCAGCTGCACTGACTTCAGCTTCTTTTCAAACAGCAGATATGAGTCACTGCTGTCAGATCTATACCAGGATAACAGACTTGAAATAAAAAGTAATAACTCTAAGAAAATATCTACTGAAGCAGTGCTTTTTTCTATTCTTATCTTTGCATTGCTGTTAATATCTATCTCAAATTGCATGACAGTCACAGACTTTTTTTTATGTTTTGTTGGTTCTCCACAGAAGCAAAGGGTACAATATGTGTCAACAGATTATAGGTGATTTTCCACAGCTGGGCTCGCTGCCGGATCTTCAATTATATGAGCCTTAAACCAGATTTAATAGCGATTAGTTATCACCCCCACAGAGAGCGAGCAGAATCTTCTCATAGTCTCCTTTGGTGTCATCCTAAAGGAAAGAAAGGTCAGGGTGTAAATTATAGCATATAGGATGGTTTTATTGTTGTTTTCAGGGGTCAGATTTTGTGCTCACCAGAATATCCTTGTGGAGTGAGGAGCCGTAGTTTTTCTTGTACTCATCCTTGATCCTTTTCATGTCAATTTCGGAACGGCTCACCATGATGCGGGTCAGGATATGTTTGCGGGTACCTTTACCCTGATGGTGGAAAAAAATCAGTCAGTGAAGGCCTTGCATTTTTATAGTATATTTCTTAAGTAATAATAGAATACAAAAACTGTACCTTCATGGCCAAATTGAGCTTCTCTGCAAAGAAAGCAGTTCGGCTGCCAGCACACTTCACTGTGGTGATGAAAAATATAGGTTAACTTTACATCAAGTTTGTTCATAAATCACTGCAATAATCAGGTAATAAGGTTAGAGTTGAGGGTTGTTCCTTTACCTACTGCAGTGAGACAACTTTCAATATCTCCCTTCATCTCCAGGTCGATAGCTTTGGCCACGTCCACCTTGCTGTACTTTGAGTATCTGTCAAACACTGGAGGAGAACGGAAGAGTGTTAGAGCTGACAGAAACAAACTGATATAAAAACTGATTTTGCTGAACAGGAGAGGAAGCCAGCTAACCTTTACGGAGATGAGGGCCACTCCTGTTGGTGAGGATGTCAATGAAGACTGAGCAGTCGTTGCCCTTCCTCCCCTCCCCGGCCTCGTACAGAGCCCTGGCATCGCTGTCAATCATCTGCTCACAGACTCCTTCAGTCGTGTTGGCCTGTGATGGAGACAAGCAGAGCAACTTCACAAAGCTGAATACAGCCTTTAACCTCAATCTATACACAATGATAGTAGAATATGTTATAATGAGGCATAACACTTGCACATGTACCATAGTCTTCTCAGTGACACCATAACTTATTATTCAAACCTAAAGACTTCTAAGAATAATCTGTACATTTAGTACTTTGCAAGCCTGTTTTATTATGTAATATTTGAGCATGAAATTAACTTTAATAGGCATCGCCTTTGTAACTAAATATATGCTGTGTAAGGGTTACTGGTTTTCTGTTCAATCTTAACATGCCAACATTCAGTGAGTTATTTCCATCTAGGTTCCCAATTCTCAACATTTTATCATAATGCAGGTTTTTACTTTATTTAATTAATATGTAATGGATGTTCATCTTATTGAGATTGTCTGCATTTTGTGACTTGTAAAACACCCAAATACAAAGCCATAAAAGGCCTGATTGTTAACTTAGGGAGTGAGTTTGTTTAACAAACCACCTTCACTTCAGCTGCAGTAGAGAGTGTAATGTCGCCTCAGAAGTTAATGCATCCTGTTGTGAATGAATAGCTGTTCGTGCTACACGTGTCTTCAAAATCTTGTAACAAGTAAAGTATAAGGTGTGGATACAAACGTACCTTGCAGAGTTCAAGGAGGGCAGCCCTGAACTCTCCACTGGTGTCCCCCCTGATGTCAGTCTCCAGGTCCTTCTTGTGATCTTAGTAAAAAAAAAAAGAAAAGTTACTTTTGGATTATAAGATTGAAAAAATTAAACCTTTTATTTCCAAACACTAGCAAAACTGAACATTGTTGCCTAAATATGTTGACACACACCTTCCTTGTAGGCTTTCTTTATTTCCTCAATCTCTCTGTTGGTTCTGGAGGCCAAAATCTCAATAAGGACTTCCTCCTCTGTGCCCAGTCCCTGAGAAAGGGATGCATACATAGATCAATTAAAAAAAGAGAACGACAACTCTGTTCTTCACTTGCCCAAATCCAACAAACCACACCTTTTACACTCACTTAAAGAAAACAATATATGAATATGTGGAAATGGGGGGATGCCATCAGGCACCAAAAATAGCATATGATAGTTTGGCCAAAACATTCGCCTTAGATGAGTCATTTATACATAGATTTTAGTGTTGTTAAGCCTGACACATCAAATAAGTCAGAAAATTCTAATTTTTTTTAAATGTAGGTGTTTATTGCACCTTTTAACAAAATACAACAAAAAAATATTTGGTAATTATTTACATATATGATTTTTTTTGTATCATATTTGATACGTCAGGCGTTTATGGCAATTTATTGAACAAAACAACGTCTCCTTTTGAAACAAAAACAAATATTGATTATTATTACATTTGGAAGATTTTGAACATGTCACAACCTGAACCAACAGGCTATACAGAGTATTTCTTTGCCATCTAAAAGTACATGCAAACACAAATTATGTTGTACTCTCTGACTTGGTTATTATGATAGCCAAGGAATTGTTTTAATAAAAAATCAATAAGTTGTGGCAATTATTAGCAAGTGAGTCATTGCAACATTTGACTCACCGGGTTACAGAATGACCGGGTTACAAAAAAAATACGTAAATATCTCAATTTTGACTTTTAATTTATTACATTTTAATCTTTAATTAAATAATCTAAACAGTGTGTTTGGCATAATGCAGATTGCATCATGAAATGTACTACAATGACACTGATTATTTTCCAGAGAAATGTTCTCATACCTGCTGTATACTATTTGATACATACATTTTCAACACGATTTTTCCATGAAATAAGCTACAAAATATAAACTGATTATAAGTTGCTTCAATACAGTAAATATTCATAGTGAAATATAACAATAACAATATAAACGTAATTTGTACCGTAATTTATTCAATATTGGCAAAGATGTCGCTTCCAAAAGCGTCTGAACCGTTATATGACGGCAGCCATTTTGGATTTGGTCATTAAAAGCGCTCTACAGCCTGCAGTGCCCGGATAATCCACCAGAGGGCAGAAGACATGTATCACATTGCATAAAACAGGTCTTTTAGGAACATACTGTACTAGTCATTTGGATGACGTAGAGGTCTCAGAAACTCATGTATCAAATATGATACACTTGGCGTTATAGGGTTGTGAGATTGTGTTTTAGTTTGTATGTACCTTCATGGCCAATTTCAGCTGTTGGGCATCGTACTGGGCAGGTGTTTTCAGCAGAGCCAACACCACCTCCTCCAGATCTCCCTTCAGAGCGCTCTTCAGTGCTGCTTCCAGAGGCTGCCAGATGACAACAGATAAGCAAGTAGTTTGAGAGAATGTGATCCTGTTTGTGTACAGTTGTATGTGTACTTTGGAACAATATCCTGTCGTTCTATGAATGTATTTGTTTTATTCTAATTACCTTGCCGGATGATTGCTGGTACGCCGCCTTGATCTGCTGTCTCTGATCATTGCTCCTTTTCACCAGCACTTCAATGATGGTGTTCTCATCCACACCTGCACAAAGGACATGATGAGTCAAATTGCAATTTCTCATTCTCAGACACAAATATATGATTCAATTGAGACTTGAGTTTGCGCTTATTTGAATAAACAACGTTTTACTCCAGACAATTAGTAATGGTGCATGACGGCCAGCAGATGGTAGTAAAATTCTTACAGTGAAATCCAGCAAGTCATTCTTGAAGTAGAGACACATTGTGCAGAACCACGACATGTTCATATATGCTTCAAAGATTTACTAAAGATTACCTTTTGCCTTGATGGCCTTATCCAAAACTGCTGCATCTCCACTGGAGCTGAAATTAAGTGCTGCAGTCACCGTTCCCTCCTTGGCGAGGACCTGAGAGACAAACACATATGTGTTTAGTAAATACTAGAGTTCTACCATGGTGTGCGTGTGGCCAGTAATAAACGTGCATTTTTGAAATTCCTTAAGTGCAAAAGTGTTTTAGGAAAAGGTAAAATCACAGCTTTCTCTAACCTTTCACTTTTATGTCTTGAAAGAGCATGACAATGCACTTCAAAATGACTTTACACATCTCTGTTGAGCTGTATAACAGGAGAGTTAAATCATGTGGGATAAACTTGTGCAACTTTCCTGAAGTTCACTTTAAGAAACCAGAGGAAGCAGAAGTAGCATTTTGTTCTGTTTGCAGAGTTTATAAAGGGAGGGGCTCAGATTCCTCCCACTATGAGTCACTGCACTTGAGACCTAGTATAGTATTTTTCTCATCATAATCTCTATAGTCCAGACTTTAATAACATCACCCCCTTATCTTTCTACTCTGCTCCACTCCTTTTTCCTTCCTTTTAAACATCCCACTCATTCATTACTCTCTCTCACTTCACTTCTCGCTTTCCGTTGCTCAACTCTGCCAGATCAAAATTTTCCACCCTAACATACCACAGGAAGAGAAAAAACAGAAAAAACAGGGCTGTTGGCCTGAGTAATTGGAACAGAACCACAAAGTTACGTACTGACTCATCGGGCATGCCCATATAGACCGTCTGCTGCAGGAAGGCTTGGATGAAAGACATGGTGGGGCTGTTGGACTCTGACTGTAGGGGCAGAAGAGAAGATGTGATCAAACAAAGTCCACAAGATATATAATAGATAGTATTCAAAGTGGAAAGGACTCCTTGTGGTTCAACTAGGCGTAAAGATCTTATCTAGTGAACGTGTTGCTCAAGAAAGAAGGAACACGTTTGTTTTTCCTTCATCCACAACTGAGAGAGAGCACAAGCCTCTGCATATTTACTGTAGGTTTATGTTATGTGGTTTTCCACAATGGCAAGCATGTGGAGACTGCCTGGCCACACCCACGCTCAACACTGCTAGTGGTTAACATTATATTGTAAGATAGAGATCCGGTCTCCTTTGGTATGCTTTAATATGTATACTTATTGACAACTTTTGCTTGATATTCAAATCAGCTAAACACTTTTTGCTTCAAAAATATCGCTACTGTTTCCACAACCACACCCTTATGGTTGCATCAATACCTTGAAGGGGAATTTACGGACATCCCATGTTGTACCAAACTTCCGCAATCTCTCAAACTAACTGCTGGAGAACAGATTTCATATTTCAAACATTAAAGGAAATTGTCTTACCGTGTGGGCTTGGACGGAAGAAGTTTGTCTCACTGAGATTCCAGTGGAGTTGAAGTGGCAGAGAGAGTGTATATATACTCATGATAGACCCCACCTAGTAACGGGTCCAGCCCATCCTCCCTCCTCAGCTGCCATGATTGGGTTGAACCACTGTCTGCCACAGCAGCAGGAGCGTAACGGAGCTCCGTCCAATGCGTGACGCCGTGCGTAAAAAAACTAGCAACAGTTTCTACTGCAGATTAAAAAAAAGTCACGCTTCTCACTTGAAAACATATGATCAACATTCCGACCGTAATCTTTCATAAAAATGGGGATCTCGTCAGGTAAAATCACTAATACTCGGGATACATCTGGTACTTGGCTTGTGTTCATGATGACTTACTGTGTTATACTTTTATACGTTCGCACTTATAGTGGAGATTTTAAAGCAATAATAAAGTGTTTAATTATAATCATTTCGAAGCTCCATATTTTTCAGATGCACTTTGATGTTGTTTCTTTTTTTGTTTCTTTTTTTAATTGTACATTTGTATTTGTGATTGTAATGTTTAAAGAAAACACTTTATTTGTGTGGTGTTCAGGGCATTACTTGGACATATGTAGAGTTGTTCATCTATTCCACCGTTTACATTTCATTTCTTCACTGCTGGAATCTCCATCTGTCCCAATTATATGTAAAAGTTTGATGTTGTTGCTGTTCTTTTGCCAGAATAGAGAATAACATTCTTCCTGTTCTCTCTCCTTTTGCAGATATTGTCATTGGGAAGCTTCTTTAACCTCATCAGATGAACCTAAGCCCCTCATCAATATGTGAAACCCCTGATCTATGTTCATTCACACCTCAGCATGACAGTATACCTGCGGAAAAGAGCACAGGGCCTGCCGAATTCAGTGCGATGAGGTAAAGAGTTTATTTAAGGTGTGGCATGTTGCCATAACAGTACAGCCGGACCTGAGCTACCTGTGGGCTACATGCCTCAGCAGACGCCAGGATAATGACACATTCGACTGACTGATGACTGCATCAGTTAAAGCAGTCATACTTTCTTATTTCACCATAAGGGAGTGTTTTAACAATCAAGACCTCACAGGCCCTCAATGACGTCTTTAAAAACGTGTACTCTATGTGCTGAATGACATTCTGTTGCTGTTGCAATCTGTATGTAGTTGTGTTGAATGAAACTACTTTTATTTTTGATGCAGTTGCATGGGTAAATGCCACACACATTGAAATATCAACAAGTCCTCCAACTCATACGACCAAATAGGTCGATAGTTCAAGCCCTTATTACGACCAAATAGGTCGTTTGTTGTTCAAGCGCTTAACACAACCTATAATCAAGGCCGGATTAACCATATGGGCAACCTGGGCACGTGCCCAGGGGCCCTTGAGCAAAGAGGGCCCTCAGTGACAAACGTTTTTATTTTATTTTCAGGCACAACCTCACTCATCATACATTGTTTTAAATGACACTCACTCTTCACCATAAATAACACAGCTTTTCTATAGGGTCAAATTAATATATTTTCTAAACCGTCTCTGTACTGTAGGTCTCACTATGTATGCGCTCAACTTTATTACTACGCGGCGGCGGTGTATAGCCGAATCACAGCCCCACTCTCACTCAAGTCACATTTTGTCACGTGAGCTGAAAAAATGGATGGTGCCGGTAGCAGCCAAACGCCCAGCGGGGCTGCGAAAAGAAAGAAAAAGAAGAGAGAGTGGCGGCTGCATTAAAAAAGATTCCCAACAATAAATAGCTTTTTCAAAAAAGCAAAAAGTGACGAAATAGGCCAGCAATCACAAGGAACAGTGGCGGCAGTCACGGAGGATGTTGTTGAGCTAGCGAGCAATGTTAGCCTCGAGCCTTGGATTTTGATGACCTAATCACAGAAGAGAAAGGCAAGGAAGAAACACTTCTAAAAGGTAAGATCCACTGTCTCTCACACACACACTAATTCTCTCTCTCTCTCTCTCTCTCACACACACACACACACACACACACACACACACACACACACACACACACACACACACACACACACACACACACACACACACACACACACACACACAATATCTTCCATCACATATTCTGATCACTTAGTTGAGCAACCACACAATTTCACTACATATTTTACTTTTGTAACTCTCAATGTTTGTGACAAATAATTGTAGGATAGTTTGGCCATTAAAATGCTTTTTGATTAGATTTCTAGCGAGAAGTGTATATTGTACTTTTAGAATCTACGTCCAGTGGATGTGTAGGATCTATAGTTTGATAGATATTACGAAGATGATTTGAGGTTTCGCCAGGAGAACGTGTATATGCGGCAGCTTCCATGTAAAGTTAGCGTCAACCCTCACGGGGTGAAAACAGTATTTCCAGTCGTAATATGCTGCTGAACAATCTACCTATATGGTCGTTTTTTGTAGGAGGACAGGCTGTGAAATATGGTCAGGGCAGGGTTTGGATAGTGAAGAAAGAAGGATGGGGTAAAGCGTAAAGCCGATTTTCATTAATGTCATCTTGAAGAGATCTATTCAGAGGGGATGTCACTCTTTTGGTAGATCTGCCAAAGGTTTTAAATGTGTCATCCGGTCTTTAAAAGAGAGGAAATCCTTTTAGAAAGGTTTGGCCAAGAGCAACAAGACAAGTGGGTAAATTGTACCAACACTTTACATCTGCAACAGAGGCCATGGTTTAAGAAGAAGGCGTCGTACCCTCCACAGATAAGTCCATCCAGTCTAATGCTTTTTCTACGTTTTGGGATTTTTCTTACGCTATCATTTGTTTGTATACGTCGGTTCATTTGACCTATTTGGGCAACAATTATTTAATTTAAACCAAAAGAAAAGTTTAGAGGAGAAGTCACTCTTAGGTGGAACTGCCAAAGAATGCAAAACAAAAGAAAAGACATCCTGATAGAAATGCTTGGCCTAAAGCCACCAGACAAGATAGCACAATAGTACACAAACCTTTAATCAGCGATAGAAATGGCAATGCAATTATTATTTAATATTTTTACTTAAAGTATTTAAAATAAAAGTATTTTTTCTGTCTGGTTGTGAGATGATTAATAAAGGAGATAAAACTTAATGTATGATGCACAACTCCTTTTGTTTTTGGCTAATTATTTAAATTAAACAATCAGAGAAAGTTGTTATGAAACAATACCTTGTGTTTCAAAAGCACGTGTGTGTTTTGTCAAATCTGAATGGGCAACTGCTGCTGTTAAATAAGTAACACAATGGATTTAAAAGCACAATTTTTCCCACCCCTGAAATGTAGCGGAAGAAGAGGAGTAGAAGTACTAAGTGGCACGAAGAAAATACACACAACTATCTACATTTTGGATTCAATTACTATCTGTTCTGTAATGTCTGATGTTCTCTTCATCACAACAAACCTGATAATTCTCCCACACTCCTTAATGTAGTTCACCTGTAGAGGATTTTCTTTTTCAGTCTTTTTTCCTTGATCGAGTAAAATGTGAGGTCTACAGAAAAATAAACAAATACAACAGAGATGGAGTAAAGATAGTGTGTATGAACTATATGTGTGTCTGTGAGACAGCATCCAGTTACAATCTGTATCTTACACACTGGAAACCTGAGGAGTGTTTGTGGCATCTTTTTACCAACAGGCTCTGTGGGGTTTAAGCCAGTAGCTGGTGAAACTCCATCTCTACAGGTTTAATATTTAAAGACTGTTGAGAGTTCGGTTCCCCTTAGATATCAGGATCAACACGTCCTGGTCAGCATAACAGCACTCAAACTGCACTGAATCACACTGAGGGGATTTCATCTGCTCTAAGATCAGGTACTCTTTATATCATCAACTATCCTCTATTGTTTTATATCAGTTTATCATGTCTTAAGCTCTCTTTTCAAGTGTTAACTACTTTGTTGTATTTGTATCAGTTTCACGTTAATGCAGCTCATTTTGTCACACACATTTCAGTTTTTAAATCTCTTTATTTAGTGCCAAGTGCATGTAAGATTTGTTCTTTTATGGCACCGTGAAATCATGGAAAATTGGCATTAGCTCAAACTCTTGGATTTTCCAACTTTTCTGTCGAGAAGCTTGTAGCTTATTGTAGCTTGAAGAGGCTTGGACAGGATAACACTGCAGAGTGAATCTGCTGTGCACGTTTATTGACATCTGCAAATGGTTTGAGAGTTGAACAACAGTTCATAATGGGGGTTAAACATTTGGGTATAGTTTACATTGAATATGCACTTGAGCGTTTCACCTTTAGAGTCTTTTTGTGTCTTTTCTGCAGATTTTCTCACCTACAAACACAGGAACAGTAGGGACAGGAAACACTCCGTATATAAACGATGTATATGAATTCCTCTGGAGCTGAGAGTGGATCTTACTCACTGACCTTCCTGGGAAAGAAAGTAGGGAGACATCACGCTGTGGCCCCCGCAGGCAAACAACGTGAGTGTACAATAAACACAAACTACATTTGAAGGGACCTATACATCTGCATGGTGGTGAAGATATTATTGTGTTCTTCTCTGTATCAGTTTATGTGTTGCAGAAAAACCTGTTGTGACTGTTGTATGTTGTGTAAGACAACATTTAAATATTTCAGCTGCTGAACTGCCTTCGAAGCAGCGGAGCAATACGTTTATCAAAACAAACACACAGTGTTCCTAGCAGGGTCTGTTTGAAGATATGGACATGAAGAATCTAGTAGAACCAGAAGTTTAAGCAAACATGTCAACAGAACTCCATCATGTGCAATCACATTTACTGTTAGCAGCTCAACAGCTGGTGCTACTCTTCTCCATTTCTGATGTTGCAGAAATAGACGCCAACACGTTTTGTGTGTTCTTTTTGAGATATTTTCACACTGGCCTTATGCCTGCTGCTTCATGTTATCATTTGGTCCACCATCTTTTATCCAGATGTTTTCATTATTTGTAAGATTTATGTACGTAGCTTATTTGATCATTTCCTCTTGAGAGTCATAAAAGTAATCTATATCTACATCAATCCATATCTTACTCCATGCATCGACAGTTGGTCTTTATTTTTTGAATCAGTGTCTGGCTGTTTGTTTGCATATCTAAATTTCCTTTCAAATCTGTTTGTATGTTTGATTTTTTCCTCAGGCGCCTGGGAGACAACTAACAGGTCTACCTGCCCCGAGGACCTGGAGTTGTCCTCGCGGCCTGGACGGGCTCCTGTCTCAGCGTCTCACGTACTGGAGGATTTACCTGGCAGCGTACCAGAGCTGAAGGATGAGAGGCCATGTCCAATCATTCATAACACACAGTTCGACCCGTACGAGGACAGCCCAGCAGGTCAGACCAGTGCAACCCTCGTACACACAAAATCTAGAAACACATGCACGCACTAAACATGTAGTTTACTGTAGCAACCTTTAAAGGGCCCTATTGTGCTTTTTTAGGTTTTCCCTTCCCTGTATTGTGTTATATAGGTTTTTGTGCATGTAAATGGTCTGCAAAGGCTAAAATCCTAAAGTTCCCTCCAGAGGGAGTTTCTCTCCCACACACTCCCCCCCCTGACTGAAATGCCTCCATTGGACTTCTTTGTTTTTCATTCCGATACATACGGACATCACTACGTATGTAGTGCTTCAATTGGCTAGCGTTCTAACACATTGTATGTAAGAGGCTTGTGATTGACCAATGACAACAGAGCCGGCCAGCTAACCAATCAGAGCAGACTGGGCTCTGGTTTCAGACAGAGGGTGAAAAGAGGTGCTGCAGCACAGGCAGTATGAGAAAAATAAATACCCTTTTGAACATTAAAGCATTTAAACATGTCATAGTAGGCAAAATATGAGCATAATATGTCCTCTATAAACTCCTCACCAAATGCAAACTAAACAGATAACCCAAGTTGTTTTATCTTACAAGTGTTCCTCTGTAATACCTGACATAACTTATTTTCTCCAATAAAAGGTGTTTCTGGGAAGAAAGTATGACGGCACGACCACATTTCTGGAATATGGAAACAATTAATATTGGGGTGGGGTTTCAATTCTGAAATGTAAGATCATGCCGCACATTCTCGACATCGCAACATCATTTGGCAAAGGAATAATGTGTTCCAAGACTTGTTGTTTCTCTTACGCTGCTCTTCTTTCCCTCGGCTGTTACTCTCTCCTCCAGGAGTTGTTTAAAGAATCTTGGTAACGTATATAGTTGCTTGGCCGAACCAAATTGAAACCAAGGGGTAATTAAGATTTCCCAGAATAGAAAAGTACACTGACAAAACCCCCAAAAAACCTTATGATATAGAATCATGTGGTTCGTCCCAATTGGCTTTGTGCAGTTTGTATCCGTCCTCAGCCCTCAGCCACGCCTTTGACTGAACCAGTAAGTAACCTCCCCTGAAGACTACAGTAACTCAAAGACAAAGAAAGTCATTATTATACAAACAAAAACTTGTGCAGTGTAATTATTTTCACCCTGTGTGGCTGTGGCCATCTCATAAGCAGTGAAAGTAAAACTACTCCTTATTGGTAACTTTACGATAAGGCATCAAATCATATACTTAAGAAATAAAGCATGACTTCTGATGATTAAGAGGCAGGATTTATCATAAATTCCTTTTGCTTACCATTAATAAACGTTCAAGTCACTATGGCTTTATGTGTTCAGTTCGTAATTACTGTAAAACATCTTACAAGTGTTCCTCTGTAATACCTGACATAACTTCTTTTCTCCAATAAAAGGTGTTTCTGTGAAGAAAGTATGACGGCACGCCCACATTCCTGTATATGGAAACAAAGAGGGGAGAGGGTAGGAAGGGAATGTGAAAGACAGAGAGTGATGAAATATTCAGAATTGAGGCACTTTATGGAATGTGTCAATATTGTAGATAACCCTGGCCACCCGGATGGATTGCGTTGTAAATGAAAATAAACAGGGACTTATTAAATACATTTAAATTAAAACAATTAATGAAATGACTTAATTAAGGAATGTAAACAGATAATAAACTGCATGCTAATCAATCATCATGGAGATGTCAAACATGTTTTAAATATCATGAATCAAATGTCAATGTTTCACTGAGATGTATGTGTGTAAAAAGAATAAAATGCATCATAAACAAACAATAAAGATCTTTTTTTATATTATTAATCTTGCAAGTCAACATCTTCAATTACTTTATTTTCATACACACGCACGCACGCACACACACACACACACACACACACACACACACACACACACACACACGCACACACACACACACACACACACACACAGCAGTAGGAGTGATTTATGAGCTCAAGCATTTGGCATTCATCTGTTTGCATATGATTATATAATTGAATATTTGAACTTCTCAGTTAAATAACTAAAAGATCATTTTCTGCATTAGGGAAATTCTCCATTTTTTTCAGGGGATACTTATATACTCTATTAAACAAACCATGAATTAGGAACAGAGCAAAGCTATCACACAGGAAAAAACATCTGAAATCACATGATCATTTAAGCTGGAACTACTTATTAATATTGGGGTGGGGTTTCAATTCTGAAATGTAAGCACATTCTCTACATCGCAACATCATATGGCAAAGGAATAATGTGTTCCAAGACTTGTTGTTTCTCTTACGCTGCTCTTCTTTCCCTCTGCTGTACGATCTCCTCAAGCTGTTTCCCACTGTCCCCAAACATTTGCTTCGTTGTTCAAGCTGTCAGACATCACAAAACCCTGTGGATGAAGAGGTGGGCTGCATTCAGACGCTGGATCGGTGCTGACCACAGAAAACACACGGGACAAGATGTCAACCCAGGTGCTGTAAAATGATAAGAAACATGTGGAGGAGAGGGACGATGATGAAGGGGTTAAGTAGGGATGTGGGAAGGTACTGCAGATATATAAGCTGTCAGGGACAGAGCAGTAAGGCATCAGGACACAGGAGTTGTTTAAAGAATCTTGTTTTTTTTATTTACCCAAAAATCCAAAACAAACATTATAAGCCAAGAATCTCTAATAGGCCTATAAAAGAGGTCAACAGAAAATACCTCTAATGAATATAACGGCAACTTAACAGGGGTTAAGAAACTGACCTCCTAAAATGACAAAACAAGGAACATATATGGCCGAACCAAATTGAAACCAAGGGGTAATTAAGATTTACCAGAATAGAACAGTACACTGACAAAACCCCCCAAAAACGTTTTGACATGGAATCATGTGGTTAGTCCCAATTGGCTGTGTGCAGTTTGTATCCGTCCTCAGCCCTCAGCCACGCCTTTTACTTTACAGTTATTTTATACATTATATGATGTGTAACCAAGTTACATAAAAGTACATTTCAGACCTAGGCATCTTCCCTGAAAGCAGAACAGACATTTAAAGCTTTTTATGTTTTATCAAACGTGTCATGTGGTGCAACATATATGATGCTGCATGACATAATAATGTTTATGGTACATTTACAGCCTGGGGGTTGTAACATGAGTTGTCTACAAGAAGTGGACTTTAGCACAGTTAATAATTAAGTGATTTAGGTATAAGAGGAGAATGGAATAGAATAAAAATATGCTTTTCTGTAAGAAATGTGTTCTGCTTTCTGAGAGCCTGAGCTAATGCATAGGTCTGAAGTTAACATTATGTAACAGCCGTCTCAAAATAATACATATATAAAAAATACATTTTTGGAATAGCTGGATTCAAATGTTTGAAATGGTAATCTATTCAATATTAACTTAACACATAATATTAGTTGACTTGATCATGTGTTAAATTGAGCAGGAGTAATTCATGATAAATCCTGTTTTCACTTTTAAATGTGATGTGTACACCTGTTATAAAGGTTGAAAGGCATATTGCTAAATATCATTTTGCATGAATGCTCTGAGCTGAATGGTGATTTAAAGCATGTTATTTCTGCAGGATCATCAGAATCTCAGCTCTCAGACAGCAGTGAAGCTGATAGGTCACAAGATGTAAAGATCTACATCCCCTACGAGTCAGCTGAGCTCTGCATCAATCAGGTAAAATAAAGAGCATCAAAACAAGGAAGCAGCACAAAAATGCACTGTATCTCCCACAGCATCCATATTCAGAATAGATCAGTTTATACCACTAAACAAAAACAAGCATGAACCCAAACTTTATATTTATTTTTCCAGCTCTTTGGAGAAGGGCATGCAGACACAATGAAGTCACTGTCAGACACTGTGTCCTTCCTCACGCTCACATGGTTGCTCTGATGCTGCTGCCCTGAAGCCATTTGATCAATAACCATGATGCTATTTTGTGTTTACTGTATAAGATGTTTGTGTGTGTTACCATGTACCCCAAAACAGATAGCTGAGGACATGGGAGCATTGAAGAGAAAACACCTGGAAAAGGTGCAGGAGTTAGAGGAGAACTTTCAGGTCACAGCACGCAGGAACCAGGTGAGGTGTGTCCGTCTTTGTGGGTGTGAGAGAGAGACCTAACTCATTACAGTTAAGTAAATCGTGTCTTTGATCAGGACTGGACCGTGCAGAGGCTGAGATCTCATCACCAAAACAAGTTGAACACTCTGAGGAGAATCTTAGATGTCTACCAGGATAAAGTGGAGAAGAAGAACGCTGACTGGGAGAGGAGAGTCAAGGTCAGTGAAGGTCACAAGTCAGTCTGTCTCTCCTTCAGTAGCTCTTATACCTGAGGGTCTAAAGTATTATTTCAAACCCAACCAACTTCCTTCCCTATTTCCGTCCTTATTAGTACTGGCTCACTCCCCTACAACTCCTGCAGCTCATATGTAGCATGCTTTGTTTTGACTAATTCAACAATATAGTCAAACTCTCTGATTACATCCTTAAAGTGTATTAATCATTCCGGTGCAAATGTTACAGGCCTGATGGTTGGGACATAAAAAAAGCTTGATTTATTTATAATAATTAGTTTTTGTATGTGTTTCTGTGCTTGCCCGGTCCTGTTTCCTGCAGGCCTTGAATACACAGAACGAGCAGCTACTGGAGGAGCAGAGAGCTGAGAGGAGGAGGAGTAAAGAGGAGACGCTCCAGTGGCACAGAGAAAAGGTTGCATAGGAATCTGGCAGGCGTCAATAGTTCTTAAGTCTTTCAGCGTGCCTAGCAACCCCTAGGGTCATATTTAAGAATACAGACAACTGATTTAAGACATATCATTACATAATGATTCCTGCCTTTCGTTTAGAGCAAAATGCTGGAGCTGTTCTCAACCAGGCTGGATGTCCTGCACAGCCACCAGGCCTCCAGTGAGTCAGCACACTGACATGTATGTGTGTCAGCACAATCCCTGACCTTAACATACTAACACCTGTATTCACCACCTGTGACCCTGAATAGCACTGCAGGAGCTGCAAATGGCCAGACAGGAAGTTGGGAAAATACAAGAAATGTTGATGGCATCATCCCAGGAGCAGCAGGAAGCTGCTGAGGAAGGTGAAAGCACAGAGAACAAAGGACTTTCAGCTCATCAACAGACTGTGGTGGGTTGGAATTGGTTACAGTGGCTGTCTGCAGCTCATATCTGAGGTGCATGTAAAATTAAAAACATATAAATAAAGAATCCAATAAGAAGACAGATACACCTTCTGAGGGACTGTATGTGGGTCAAAAGTACTTATTAGTACATTTAAAAACATGTTTAAATGTAAATATTTCTCTTGTATCATTTTGGTTTGGCTTCCATTAAATGTTTCTCAGTCTAAACTGTCTTTTTAAAAATGTACAAATAAAACTTGAAACAAATCTCAAACATGAGCAGATAAAAACACTATCTCCATGAACAAATCTATATGTGTGTTTTGACTGTACTGATTGTACTTTTAATGTGGTTCTCTCTGCAGGCTTGCAATGACTCGGAGCAGCCACTGGAGGGGGCTAAAGCCCGCCTGGAGGAGCTGAAGGAGAGTCTGTATCAGAGGGAGAGAGAGATCACTGAGCTGCTGGAGGCCCAGAGGAGCCCCGTCCCCCCCGTGCCCCAGTCCCCCTGCAGCGTGCTGCTCCCCACTGTCATACACAAGGTGATGTTCAAATATTAAACTATGTATTCAAAACGTTTGTAACGTCAAAATATGGCAGAAAATACTTCATTCTCTTTCTTTGACTTCACTGTGAATCTATGACCTTGTTGTGTAATATAAGACTGCTTTGTTTTGTTTTCCAGGCTCAAGCTCTCTGCAGTGCAGTGCCTGAGGCCAGAGCTCTTTTGGACCTGATGATTGAGGAGAATCGAGCCGCGTTGGTTGAAGCCAGAGACAAACTGGGCCGTGAGCAGATGGCTAGAGAAGACAGTATTAGCAAAGAAGATAAGGCAAACGACCAAGAGGGGTAAGAGATCATGGATAGAGTTTAAAAATATAAACAAAAAATAACTTCCTATTGATTGAATAGCCACTGCCAGTCTCAAAAGTGGGCAGTTAAATTGATCACATTTTTTTATTTATTTTAAATAAGTATTTTTCAGATGGATTTTCTCTTTTTTTCAGGTTTGCTGAATCTGAGTCAAGTGTGTCCTTACTACAAGAAACAGTGAGGGGCTATGAGGTCTCTTATCTGGCTTTGGACTGCATTAAAACCGGAGAAAGCCCTGTAATAAATGGTAAATACCTTTTAAATGCAACCACTTGCACATGCATTCAGCAGCCTATTTTACCACTAATAGTAATACTTACATCTTCAAAAGCTGGAAGCTTTCTTCAACAGCTGTGTCTGAACTTACAGGTACATGCCTTATATTAGCAGTTTTACTGTACTCTAACTTCTGTTTTTCTCAGAATGTGACGCGGTGGCAGAGCTGGAGGACATCTTGGGACAAGGGACGATCCGAACCACAGAGGGAGTGAAGAGCGTTGGTCAGCAGCTTCTCCTGCTGCAGGATCAGGTTGGTCTGTTATTAAAAAGTTGGGCCTCTAAGAAGGTCACCACCCAGCTGACATCTATAAACAAAAAACAGAATATGTTGGCCCTCGCTGTTTTTCACAAATTCTACAATACAACATCAGTAGTGAAATAGCTTAAAGGACACCTATCATGTTATATTTAAATTATATATTGTAGGGCCATACCTATATAAGGTATATTTATACGTTTCTGTTTTCAAAATACCAAACAGATGATGCATTTTAGCCATGCCTCATTTCGCTCTATTTGCTGTTCTCCAGCCCTGTTTTTGCAGGGGGCTGATTCTGTGAGCTGCAGCTGACCACGCCCCCCTGCCGGAGAGGGGAGCGTGCTCTGATCAAGTCAGAAGAGGGGGAGAAAAATAGATCTCCGTCCTCCGTGTTTTATTATATTATTATAGAGTCGTTATTCATTTGTTTTAAAGCTCAATAAATAACAAAGAAGACCTTTGACCGGCACTTTTCAAATTTTGTCTGGAAGATTTAAACTTTAACGGACATCTTGACCGGCGAAAGAAAACCTAACTGAAACTCTGCCGCACGGTCCCCTCGTTCCTTGGAAGAGGCGGAGAGGTGGGTGTTTGTCATCTGCTGGTGGACTAACCGGAGAGAATTACAGTGCTTGCCTCGACGGGGAGGGATTGCATTGAATTACAGCAGCAGGAGCAAACGCTTGCCTCGGGGAGGGAGAAAAAAAGCCACAGCGGAGAATAAACAGAAGGGAAACCATGGCAACCATGCGCGGGAAGTCTTCTTCGCTGCTTTTGTGGCAGACGACAGCGCCACTTACAGGCCTGGCATATGTACTACAGCGTCTCCAGCGCTTTTGAGCGGCAATGGCCGGCCGTGGCCCAACCCCACATTCCCCTGATAGGTGGAGAGTTGGCCCAATAGCCGTAGCGCCACCGTCCTGACGTCAGTAACGTGTTCAAATCTGGATCAGTTTTTATCAGATCCGTTGCAGCCCCGTTTTTAGAGATTTGGGTATGGAGGAAAATAGAGAGGGTTGTGTTTTCTGACACTTGGTGAGTTCCGTGGAACACCGGGGACACATATTCATGTATAAAAGACGTACAAAAGTGCATTTTGCATGATAGGTCCCCTTTAATTAAAAAACGATTGTCATAAGGGTAGACTTTAGGTGTGCCAAATATCACATTATGTTGATGAAGCGTGTTATCCAAAGTCCTGGAAAGAATTTTGTTAGATAGATTATGTTCTTATTTATGTACCTCAGATAACCAGTTTGGCTTCAAGGCTAAGCATGGTACTGAGCTATGCATCTATGCTTTGAAGGAAATGGTAGAAACATACAGAAGACAGAATTCCACTGTTCTGATTGGTTGTATTGATGCCTCTAAGGCTTTTGACCGAGTTAACCATCATAAACTGTTTTTAAAATTGAGACAAAGGGCTGTGCCCAACAGTATAATTAGGATCCTGGCTTATTGGTATGCCAACCAGAGCATGCGGATAAAATAGGGGAATGCAGTCTCGGCGCCATTTGGTGTTGGTAATGGAGTTCGCCAGGGGGGGCTCCTCTCACCATGCCTTTTTAATATCTATATATGAATGATCTATCAGATGATTTAAGTGTCTGTAAAACAGGATGTGTGATTGGTAATGTGATTGTAAACCATCTGATGATTTGGCTATTGTTTCTCCTAGCAGTGCTGGATTTCAACAGTTGCTAAATATATGTTCTGATTATGGAGTCAAATTTGATGTGAAATACAATGCTAAGAAGAGCGCTGTAATGATCTGCAGAGCAAAAGGGGATAAGAACCTTGGTTTTCCAATATTCTATCTGTCAGGACAGGTGCTGTCTGTTTGCTGTAAAACAAAGTATCTGGGACACATCATTACAGATGAAATGGCTGATGATGATGACATGTATAGACAGCGGCGTGTCTTATACAAGCTAACATGTTGGCTAGAAAATTCTCTTGATGTTCAGATAAGGTTAAGGTTAACCTCTTTAGAGCTTATTGTACTCCTCTCTATACTGCCCCCTTGTGGGTCAAGTTTAAGAAGGCGAGCCTCCAGAAGCTCCAGGTTGCTTATAATGATTGTTTGCGTATAGCCGTATACTGCTTAGAAAACCAAGGTGGTGCAGTGCAAGTGAAATGTTTTGTAATGCACGAGTCAACACGCTCCATGCTCTCTTGAGAAATCTGATGTACAAATTCATCTGTCGATTGAATGTTTCTCATAACTGTCATTATGCTGCTTTCAAATCCGTGTCTCAGTGCTGTACGATACCAGTCACCTCTGTGGAAACATTGGTATAACTGCCTTTTTTTATTTATATTTGAGTGTTGTATGTCTTTTAAAAAAACGGACCAAGAGTCTCTTTAAATAAAGCTGTTGATGATGATGATACTGTACATATTATGCCTGTATTGAGATATAAGGGTTTAGGCGCCCCTAGCTTTCACTCACTAGATTTATAAACAGCAACTTGATTACATTGTAGCCTATTACTTTTTATGGGTTTTTAACTTCTCACATGGATCAAATGTTTGGTATTATAAGGATTATTGTGCCTGCTAGTAGAAGTAGCTATAAATATATGCTTGACATACATGTTTGATAGAGCCGTGTGTTTTGTACTCTTTTCTCAAGCTGAAGCAAGTTAAAGACGAGAAAAAGAAAATAATTGACAACTACACTTCAGAAAGGACAATGAGGAAGAAGTACTACAATATGGTGGAAGACATGAAAGGTACACATTAGTCAGCGTCAAATATTTGATGTATTAATTTAAAACCAAAATGTGAGTCCTTCTCAATTTAGCCCTCTCTCATGTCTTATTTTTTTTTTCTCAGGTAAAATCAGAGTGTTTTGTCGGATTCGACCGCTGAGCAGAACTGAAGATGCTCAAGGTGGAGCCATCGCTGTGGAGAAAATAGATGATTTCTCTGTCAGTGTGGACACTCCTCGAGGGCCGAGGGAGTTTCAGTTCGACAAGGTGTTCACTGCTGAAGCCTCTCAGGAAGACCTGTTTCAGGACACCAACAGGTGGGGGGGGGTTATGCTTACTAAGCAGGGACCAATATGTATACAAATGTACCATAAAACACATACAATGGGCTCTGCATAAACAGGTTAACCATTGCTCAGATGCATTTCCAGTTTATTTCAATTCTGTCATTCATCAAGAATGTTCTCCTTTTTGGATTACATCTCTCCAATTGACGCATGCAAGTAAGGCATACTTGTAGTATCCCTTTGTCACAAAGGTAACACACTGTCTCAATTCAGTTAGTTCAGCAGTTTAATATATATTCCCTCCCCAGGTTGATCCAGTCGGCCATCGATGGATACAACGTCTGTATCTTTGCGTATGGCCAGACGGGCTCAGGAAAGACCTTCACTATGGTGGGGGACAAGGACCAGAAGAACCCCGGGATAATGCCGAGATCTTTTAACGCCATCTTTGATATCATACGAGAGAGCAGCACCAAATTCGACTTTAAGGTAACGGTCATCTTTTCTGTGAGATAGGAAAGATCTTAAATCAATTAAGTCATAACAATATTGGACCTGATATATAACTACTACTTATATTACTTATCAAGGTAAGATAAGTACAATTGATGATCTATATCCAGATCTAGATATGAATCATTTACATTGGCATCAAATCATAATTTACAATGTGATGAGGGCAAACAAAATCATAAATGTTCATTGATATTTTCTTATGTATCATGTATTTTTATATGTTCACCATTTCCATGACAAAGTAACCTCTCCTCTCTTTGTCTCCCTTGTCTTTCTTCCTCTCTGACCCATCCTCCTCCTCCTCTTCCTTCCTCTTCTTCTTCCTCCTCTTATCTCAGGTTTCGGCCTACATGCTGGAGTTGTACAACGACCGGCTGCAGGACCTCTTTGTGATGCCGGCTGGTGAGGCCCATGCTCAGCCTCCGTCCCATGGCCAGGTCAGGCGGGTGGAGATCAAGAGGAACCGAAAGGGGGTTGTGTTCGCCCAAGGAGCAGAGACAAAAGAGGCCTCCAGTGCCCAGGAGCTCTACGCTCTGTTCCTGCAAGCCTGCGCCAACAGACACATCTCTGCCACCAGTGAGTTCCTCTGTGGCGTGCCGTGCTGCCCGGTTCAACAGGGCCCTGCTAAATGGTTTGGATTAATCCTGTTAGTTACAGTCAGTGTGACGGGGCGGCAGCTAGGTACATCATTACTGGAGAAAAAAAATACAGCATAGAGGGGTTAGTTTGATGTTTTTATTTGTACATGAAATATTTCTGTCAATATTTAATCGTAAAAATGCTTGACTTGAGAGGAAATTAGTATATGGCAAGTCATTTCTTTCAATTTGAATTTTTTTTTCATAATTTAGGTGATTTTTTCAAGAAGCCAAACAGTATGTATACATTAGAGTATATATTTAAAATTGTATTTACATACAGTTATTTACAAATAAAAATTGTTGTATATGATTTGGAATCAGTACTTTTGCACTATTTTCTGATGTTTCATAAACAAAACACAGAATCAATTTATCCTCATGAGGATCTGAAGAATCCACATTCATTAAAGTACAATAATTGTTAGTGTCCGCCAAAGTGTATCAACATCCACAGCTATTTAAAGTCCAATCAGGGCATTTTATGTTGTGTATATGTTTCCCAAGAGATGAATGTGGAGAGTTCCCGCTCCCATCTCATTGTGTGCATCATGGTGGAGAGCAGGAATCTGACTAATGGCAGCGTGAGCACCGGGAAGCTGAGCCTCGTGGACCTGGCAGGAAGTGAGAGAGCAGCCAAGACCGGGGCCAAAGACCACCAGCTAAAGGTTAGCTCAGATGTTGTTTTGGGATTTGTGATAGTAAGGATGATTGAAAGTTGATATATCATGGCCTTTCTAAATTCTCCCCTCCATTTCTCTGCAGGAGGCTAACTCCATTAACAAATCACTGAGTGCCCTGGGTGATGTAATCTCAGCCCTGTCTGCAGAACTGCCTCATGTACCATACAGGAATAGCAAGCTGACACAGGTAATGATAGCAAAAACAAGCAGTATTCTTTGAAGTTTTGTGGTTGTTGCAATGACCTATTAGCTGGGTGTGATTTTTGTATTTGAAGTCATGAACCATAATGTGGACAGGTCAGCCAAGTGTGATCTGTGCTTTTCATCTCTTTTAAGTCATTGTTTGCAACAAAAACTTCAAATGCTACTGTGGTGCTCAAAGCTGTTTAAGACAGAGAATGTAAATAAGTCTGTTCCATCTACAGTGACCCACCAATGGAAAGGGAAACACTGAGAGGACACTTAGTCTAAAACATAATATTATAACAGAAACAGGTCGATGATTAAAGCTTTAACAAAAAAACCTACCTAAAAAGCAATCCGTTGGACAGACATCCAAAGAGGAATCATACTTGTCGGCAGTTAAGAAGGAAGACTATCTGCAGCTTAATATTTATGGTCCTTGCATGATCTTAGTTTGCATGTTTACTCCAGTTGGATGAGGTACCACTGTATAAATAGTTAAATGTGTTTATTACTAAATCCCTGCCAAGCTTAATCTTCCGTTCTCCTCACTAAATATAACCAACCGAATCCTCTCCCAAAACAATTCCCTTTCCCTTTATTTCCTGGGTTAAACCCTAAACTGTGAGGAACACAACACCTTATTAGTGCCATGTGGGAGTTGAAAGCATGGGATTGAGGGACACACTACATCAGGGGGTTTAACCTTAAAATACCTTAACAGTATCATACAATGTATTCCCTTCCCTTGTCAGGTGATGCAGGACTCCCTGGGTGGAAATGCCAAAACCCTCATGATCGTCAACATCTCTCCTTCTGAATGCAACCTTGAAGAGACGCTCACATCTCTGGTGTAAGAGACAACTATAGATCCATCTATTTTAAATATCTAAATGCTATCAAACTGCTAAATAACACATGAACTTCCTGAACTGTCCAGTTATGCAACCAGAGTGAAGGCCATAACCAACAATGCACAAAGACATGTGGAGAGCAAAGAGATCGCCCAGCTGAAAGAGGTATCTGTTCAGAGACATTAATCTATAGGTAGAATTAAACAAAAAACATTTGATAGGCACATTGACACAGTTACGCTAACTATATTTCTTTGTTTTCTTTTCCATTTCTGTTTCTGTTAGGTCATCATTAGGCTGAGGTCAGGGCAGACAGTGGAAGACGAGGATGTTTGAACCTTTCAAACAGCAAAGAAAAACTATTCATTTAAATATTTGAGTAATTGGAATGTGAGAAACCTATTACAATAAATGTTCTCATTAATGTTCTATTTTTTTACTTTAACATGTCACTTATAAGAAACATTTTCTCAATATTTCTAGAAAAAGTACATTGGTTTTTAACAAATAATGAATTTTCTTTTCCATTTGATTGGAATTAGAAAAATTATAAAACAGATTTTTAAATGAAGTTTACTACCTGGCTCATTATCTCCTGACATCTCATTGTCTGCCAAATAACTCTGGCTTACTTTGTTTCCTGAAGTATGGTTAATTATTTAAAATGACAAGAAGCAATCGCATTAACAACATAGCACAACTTACTGCAATAAAATATGTTTCCTGCAATTCCTGCTATTTTTTAAATATGAAACATGTGTCTAGTTGGCTACACACCCATTTGTGTTACATCACTAATAGGCCAAGGGTGTGCATGTCACCGTATAAGGTTCAACGTTAAGGCATCAGTGTTTCCCATAGGACAAATTTGAAATAGACTTTTGTGTACAATAGCAGAGTAAAGAGTGTGTGTCATTTCTTGAGTGGCCTGTCTTTTTTGTTTAAGATATGCTTGCTAATGAACTCTTATTTATTTACCATGTTTTTTTTTCTTAATTCCCTTAATGTTTCACATGCGGGGATGGCTGACATCACCCTAGATGCATTCAGGGGATTGCGTGCAGTTTGTTAATGTGTGCTGCCTGCCTGGCTCTATAGAATGAGGCCCCCACAACACAGGGCCCCCAACCCGGCCCCACGTGTAACTGAAGAGGCAAATTGGAAGTCAGCTGGTTATCCAGTTTGCACTCCTATTGTATGAAGGAAAAGGCAAAGAGTTTGTAGCCCATTAGAGAGGTTAAGTTTCCAGGACCTGTTCCTATAACGTTACGGGGTCAGATCCCATGGCTGGGAATGCACACTCTGAAACACGCAAAGGTTGTTATTGCTTTTTAAGCCAGGCAGCGGGTTCACAAAAAATGTGACATATGACAGAAAGTACAGACAAAAGTATTCAAATGTCCCAAAGTGAAGTGGGAAAAATAGCAGTTTTTTGTCATTTGTAAGCTAATGGGCCAATGCATAAAAATGAACATGGCCTTGAGGTTTTCTTTCCCTTCATACATTCATATGCGTATAAAGCTATTTGAATTGAATTGCTACTGTTTTGATTAAGTAGCTATGTGTAGCAGAATAAGATTTAGTAAGACATGTATTCTACTTTGGCTTGTTTTTTGTCTCACTATTGAACCTGGCTCAGACTATCAAACAGTCACAACAGGCAAGGCTTAAAACAGAAATAATTTGAGCCAGGGTGGCATGATAACAGTTTCTATAAGAAGACCGTCTTTTGTCCTCCCATTTTAATTGTTCAGCATTTTTAATCTATACCGCGGGCCTCACAAGTTCTCCCCTTTGTCACGTCCCATTAGAGCCATGACTCCCCAGCATTGCGTGCTGTGTGTTGTTGGCTGCTTTAGATCAGCGGCCACTCAGCACATGTTCCCTGTGATTTGTTATTCTTTAATGGCGGCCATAGTTTGAATCCTACTGTGAGCTCTGGACAAGAACAAAGTGAGAGACAAAGAGGCAGAGAGTACATGGAGAGGGAACATGGTTGATGAGGGGGCCGAGGTCTCATCCTCTGGGTGTGTTTTGTTAATTCATTGACACAAACCAATTAACCACTATAAATGGTTTGCATATAGGGCCACACACAGGCCGACTGGGAATGAAGCCTTTGATAAAGTAAATGGCTGCTGTCATGAGATGGCGTTGGCATTTTTGGCACACATTAAAGACACTCTGAGAGGCACAGTACATTTACTATAGCAACTTTATTGTGATAAATGTGACTATTAAGTTAACATTTACATTACATAACTTACATACAAGTTTGTCCGCACATAGTATGATCATCACCATACTAGGATATAGTTTGCAGTTGACATTCATTCATCTGGTTTTACTTAACACTATTTAAATATTTTAGTAATTTTATCTCAACACGAGTCTTTGTACCACTTATTCTGCTTTCCTTATTAGAAATCCCCAAAAGTCTGTTGAAATTACTATTATGACAACATACATACTTTTAGTCAAATAAAATTAAAGCAATTTAACATATTTAAAGTCATGAATATCTTTTTTAATGATAAGAAAAAAGAAGAAAAACCATCCCATACTGTAGTTTTATTTCAATCAAAACTACCAAACCACAACAACAAACAAAACATTGACATCCCAGTCCAAGTGTTTATTTTCTACTATACATATTATGTTACTTTGATATTGCTTTACCAATGTAATGACTACTTAACCTGTATTCTCTGCAGTGGCATTAACATTTAAATAATAACAACTGTTATTCCCCACAAATCCCCAAATGTATTTCCTTGACTTATTTTAAATTCAATATTCTCCTTTTCCCTTTAAACAAATCTATGCATATATATGTGTATATGTTTAACTACTGTACACACAATGTCAAGTAGTTCTGGTTACAAACATATACTGTAGTGTGATGTCACTATTTGTCAATATTTGTGCATAGACATGTTTAGTTAAGATTTTAGCAATGAACGGACAAATTGTAGTATAATCAGCCTCGTAGCATCAAACTCTGCACACATATCTTTCTTAACTGGGAAGCCAAACATCTAGGTGAAGTAAGAATAAGTAAGACAGGATTTGAGAAGATTGTGGTCATGAAAGTTGTACACTCTTTAATATATTTTTCTGAACTTCTTAAAGGTTAATAAAATGCAACGGCCAGAAGGTTGTCAGTTTGAATGCTCTGAACTGAAGTGACCTATTGTTCAACAACTCATTAGCCAACACTGCTGTGTCCTGAAACTGCGGTAAACAGGTAGGACTCTGCTGGAAGGGACAATGAGGTCTCCGTAGATTAGTTAAAGTTAAAAAGAGATTAAACTGTCATCATCCTAACTTTCAAACTATTTAAGGACAAGTAGTTCTGCCCGACTCCTATTTTCTCTTCACCCATTTGGCCATGCTTCTTTACATGAACCTTCTTAAAGGAGAAATGCCTGATTTCACTCTGTGCTGTCCTCTTTACCTCCCTTGTCTGTGTGGGAGGTCACAGCACTGATGGGCGAGGGGGAGCATGTTATAAAGGATGGGAAACTTTCATGTCTTAATATATATTTTGGTTCCTCACAGAGCCACTCAGTGAGAATTTGACCAGATGAGTAGGCTCAACAGTGTTTGCCTTGAGGATAAGATGAGGATGAGGAGATAAGAGAGTTGGAGGAGAGAAGTTAAAGCGTTGAGGAGGAGGAGAGGGCCGATGAGAGTGAAGATGAACTCTGCGTGAACACAGTTTGACGCCTAAGGCTATATCTCTTCCTCCCTCAGTGTTTAACTGTAACTAATAACTTAAGATAAAGGCATTGAATGAGCGGCTGTTTTCGAGCTTGTTTTAATGTGGTGGGACAGAAAGTCAGAGGGACTCTAAGTATGGGCACAGAGGCACTTTGAATGAACTTCCATTGTGTGTTAAATACAAATATTGAGTTAGTCAAATCTAATGCTATTTCTATGTAATTTTCAATGTCTTAAGAAACATATTTGCACATACATTTTTCCCTTTTGTGGTTGATATTTGTATCACATTTATAAAGACAGAAAATGCAGTCTGTGAACAATGATATAAGAGAGTGTATCTCTGTGGAGTTATTACCAAATGTAGTGGCTTGATGTGATAATAATCAGATTGTGTGACATTCAGGAACATCCACAGAGTATCATTTGGTCTAAAACCTTGAGGAGATGGTAATCCTGTACGGACGCGGCTTCATAGTCAGTCCAAAATCAGTGCTGAGATCCAGCTCCTGTCCGGGAACATTTTCAAGCCGCAGCCCGTGGAGCAGCGTGGTGATAAAGATAAACATCTCCAAACGCGCAAAACCATCACCGAGGCAGCGTCTCTTCCCCATCCCAAAGATGAGAACCTTCTCCGTCAGCTCCTTGTTGAGGAGTCCCGAGGGACCCAGGAAGCGATCAGGGCGAAATGTGTCCGGGTCAGCCCAAAGATCTCTGAGAAAGAGCGGACAACAGGAAGATATGAGCAATAAAGAAACATTTTACTCAATTGATACAGTCCATGTCCCATGAAATCTAATTTAACCTCATAATGTAGTCATTATTGCTTGTTACTACTCACACATCATGATTGACTTGGTACTGGTTAATGAAGACACATGTATCTTTGGGGATGAAGTAACCATTCAGACTGACGTTTCTCGTGGTGCTGGAAGGTAGAAAAACTGAATTTAAACCAAAAGAAAACATACAAATGTACACATTAATGTACTGTAAACTTAACTGCTGTCTTACCAGTGAGGGATTGTGAAAGGGACGTATGAAGCATAGCGATACACTTCATATATGAACGCCTCTGTGAAAGGCATATTGGGCTTATCTGAAAACCTGGGCAGTCTGGCTGTGCCAATGTGGTTGTCTAAGAAAGAGGAAAAACACAAAAACCCATTTGAAAGTTACAGGAAACTGAGATGCCTATATTTGAAAGGTAGCGGTCAATGTAGAGAGGTGAAGCCATTCTCATTCCGGTCCTTAAGATTTATGCAGTCTTTAAGCCCCTGACACTTAATCTGGATCTCAGTTTTTCTGATGAGAGTACAGCCTAGGAGAGGTCTCTACAGATACTAAGACTAAAGGTGCATTGAGGTGTAGATGGGAAATCAAACATTTCTTTACTTTTCACCACAAAGTTGCCTGAAATAACTGACAAAAAGGGGGCAGACTATTAAGACTGTTCAATGATAGCTAATAAGGACCTGTGATTAACATGTCAAGGCTAAATTAAACTCTTGAGCTGTATCGTACGTTTCTGACATAATTGCATTATCATTGGTTCTCTTTCGAGACCGTAAACAAGTTAAAAGTTTGTCATGTCTCGGAAACTTATTATGAAAGTGTATTCTTTATATTAGTTTTTTCATGTCCTTTTGTTCTGTGCCCTCTGTCTTATTGTGAAAAGTAATTCTCCCTCTTGTTTCAGGACTCCATGCTCCCCGCCCCTATGTGTCTCCCGTGTTCATGATTGTTTACCCCGCCCTGATTGTTTCCACCTGTGTCCCTCACCTTGTGTAGTATATATTGTTTTAGTCCCCACCTGTCCAGTGCCAGTTCGTTATCATTCATGACTACATTCAAGCCTGCTCCATGGTCGTATTCCATTCTCATGCTCCTGATGATTGCTATTAGTTTTTACTCGAAAGAGTGATTTTGTGTTTCCCTGTTTTGTTACTGTGCTTAATCCAGTAAAGTCTTTATTTTTTGAATACCACCTGAGTCTGAGTTGTGCATTTGAGTTCATGCCACTAAGTTCTCCCCTTGACAAAGTTCCCTGTTTTGTCCTTCAGTTCATTCACGGTTAGAGCGTGTGAGTTGTGGTGAGTGTTTCGAGTTTTAAACACGCACATCACAAATAATTACAACGACCCAATATGCTCGCCTTTCATCATTCATTAAAACTCTTGTTCACTCGTTCACTAATAAGGTTTCCAGTAAAGAGGTGAGCTTTACTGTAAACAGACGGATAAAAGCTTCACAGTCAATTAATTTATTAGTATTTTGGACTTTGTGTGATCACATAGTGTGCCTTGCGTGTCACCGCCTTTGTGCCAGCCTGGGACAACTCTCTAACCTTTCTTTCTTTCTCTGGCTGTTTGTGCCTCCCTCTCTGATTCATCCTGTCTCCTTTTAGTGTCTCCCTCTCTCTCCCCTCTCCCTCCCTCCCTCTCTCTGTGATGCAACGTGCCTCAGAACAGACAGCACCAGTTCAACCCACTCCAAAAGTAGCTCTAGCGTCAGCAAAATTGGACCGATCTTTTGTGAGTTTCTCTGGTGGCTGACAGATTGTGTGTGTCTGGGAAGGGCATTTGATGATCATTGTATGGTTTTCATTATGTTGATTCTGCTTTAAATGGTGACCCTTCCTAACATGTCATAATGGCTACTTCTGTGATGATGATGATGATGAATCTCAAGGACAAAGATGTTCACCTGTTTATATCCTTAAAAACATAACCTCTGAATATATTTGGTACAAATTCAAGCAGATAAGGGTTAGGTTTGGTGTTTTCATTTCATATCTCAAATGGTCATAGTGTGGCTATGCTACAATTGTTATTGTTTAATTTGTGTTTACATTTGATTAATGACTATTTTCTCTAGCTTATTGACTCTTGAGATACTATAACCACTACATCTCCTGGGTGTGGAATCAGTCAAAGTCTTAAAGATACAGTACATTTAAGAGCGACTGAAAGTAAAGCAAATATTTAGCAGTGTTGCCGTATCAATCATAAACCACCAGCCACAATCTTAACCTTATTTCTATTGTTAATCATTTATTAGAGATCTTCTGTTTCTGGTCAATGAGTCATTCATGAGACCCCAGATTGGACAGGCCCTCCCTTTTCAGCATAGCACAAATTCTTTCTCCTTAGATAAGATGCATGCAGTTTCTAAAAAGGAAATGCTTATCCTGTAACACAAGACATTACCTATCTCCTGGTGTACTCTGTCTTGGATGTCTGGAAACGTAATCAGGTACAACAGGCTCCACTGTAAACCCGCAATGATGGTGTCAAATCCTTTAAAAACAAAACAAAACACCTTCAGTGAAAACAAGTTATATTCTTCATCAATATGCTCAGTTTATAGTCATTACCAACTTGTAGTGGGGCTAACCTGCTCCGAAGATGTCTATGACGGTGTGAATGATTTGAGAGTTGGAGAGCAAAGAGGAATCCGTATTTTCTTCTCTGTCTTCACACAGTTCAATCAGAGAATCTGTAATGTCCCGGATATACTTCTGCAATCCCAAACACACACATACAATATGACAGAACATTTAACAGTGATTGTGTTACAGTTTTTCTTAAAAAATTAAAATATATAACTTGAGGGTAATGCATGATTTTGTAGCTTTAGCGGTTCAAAGTTTTAAAAGCAATAATTAGAGAAGAGACTCATCAGTTACGGTACGACGCGTATCTTTCAGTGAGATGCTAATTCCTAATTAGAGTGCGTGCAAACATTATAGGCACTCTGCACAAGAACAAAGGTCCCTCCCAGGGGACTTGTTTGTTATTTTGTTGGCTACGGTTGCTCTCACAGCTACTACTGTTTGAGTGCAATGTCAGATTAGATAGTGGATGGCAAATTAGTGGGACAGATATAGAGAAACAACACTTGCAGACACGCTATCCACCGCGAAAGCTTGTCCTCAATATATTCTGTTTTTATTTTGTGGTCAGTGTACTAGACTAGCTATTGTTAAGTTATACTCATCAAACCAGCAATAACATTTAACACATTATTGTGGTGGTTTAGGTTAAATTCTACTGTTCTTATTAGTTGCAAATTAACAGTGCAAGTGCAAATGAAAACACAGCCCCATCCTGCAAAACAGTACTGGTTGACTATAAAGCACTGCATCCGTGTATGTCTCTGCCTTTCCATTTAAACTAAAGTGTGCATATGTCTGCCTCCTTACATTATCGAAGGTGTCGATGTGTTCCTCAATGCTCCGCTCCATGAATCCGTTCATCCTTCGAATGTGCTGGACCATCTTCCTAAGAGATGGACTAGGAAAGTAGCGAAATACTGGGAAGAAATCTGCCAGGTTCCCCGCAGCAAAGATCCTCAGGACCTCGTTGTTGATGTGAACCATTGTGAGGAACTCCTTGTCGTTGTAGTCGTACCTTTTCCCAAAACAGAGGGCACAGACAACATTTGCCACTGAGGTTACCAGGGGCCTCACCGGATCTATACCCGTCTTTTCTTGGTCCCCTTTGGCAGCAGCCTGTTCCCGAATCACCTTCACCATCTCAGCTGCCTCCGCACAGACCTGCTCCTCCAACAGGCAGCTGGCCCCAGACCCTCTGGGCTCAGCCTGGGAGAAAGACCTGAGGGCGTTCTTACACAGCTTCTTATGGAGCATCCAGGCCGGTCCGTACTTCTCACTGAAGGTCATGCTGGTCCCGTTGGCCACGGCAGAAAAGGTGAACAGGTCAGGCCTTCCGGCAAAAGCTTCTCCCTGCCGAACCAGAGCCTGTCTGATGGTGCTGTATCCACTCAGGACAACAACGGTCAAAGAGCCCAGACGCATCTGCAGTGAAGGAATAAACAGCATTATTTATTGAAACCTCTGTGTAACTAACAATTTCACACATTTGACTGTACCTTGAAAACATCGCCGTACTGGAGCCTCAAGTGGGTTAGAGAAAGATGAATCTGGTCCCCCATCTGTAGCAGATTGCCAACAAGGGGCCATGGTGTAGGGCCAGGAAGAGGAAGATATTTTGTGTGGTCCAATTGGGATTTGTGATGGCTCTTTCGGCCCCTGATGGCCATCAGGAGGAGAGTGATAAGACACAGAGTAACAGTGACACTAGACAGAGAGGCACAAAGGTTCTCTTTGATGGGCGGCGTCCCAAACGTCTGTCTCATCTTGCCAGAAAAGCTTTAAATACTAATAGAGAGGGGGAGGCTGTTAAAAGACACAGAAGGAAAACACTTGAAGAATGAAAAAGGACAAAGGAAATGTGGCAAACAATTTGGATAAAAATACTCACGATGCAGTTTCCTCCGGGTGTTAAAAAAGTGGATAGCTGGAAAAGAGAAACCAGAGATCTAGATACTCAGCAGGCAGAGGTTCGAGGTCTGGTCCTCAGGAACTTGTTGATGAGAGCAGCTCACAGTACGGGACATCCTTTATAGGAGTGACCGGCCCCCTGCAGAGGGAGCTGCTGCCCGCTCACAATAGAGAGGCGCACATGGCGAGAAACTTGGCACAGGGTGAAGGACGAGTCGTCCCGGCCAGCCAGTGAGCATCACGCACATTTGACAGCAGACCGGATCCATTCACAACAAGGGCCCCTCCTCTCCTGTGTCCCCTCATGGCCCTTGTGATGCCAGCGCCAGTTTGTTGCAGTGCATAGGTTTAATACATTAATTATTCATTAATAAAGTATTTTAGAAGTTATTAAATGTTTCAAAATATACAGGGATGAAGAAAAGCCAAGAAAACAGGCATTTTCTACCAATGGCCATCATTAATATATTTCCGAAAGAAAACCATACACCTGAATTCAGGACGTTTATTTGTATAGAATAAAAAAAATATATATAAGTAGTTTTATTTAATTAAAGGTACTTTTTCTCACACAACCTAGGGTTGTTTTCTAAACAATGTAATCTCTATTGTGTGTCACAAGGGGGCGCTCTCCGTCTGCTTAGATTGACTTCATATTAATACTTTCTTGCCTCAGGCTTCAACAAAATCTCCCTAATCATCATTATTACAACACTTCAGGCGGTGTGTGGGCAAAATAATATGAGCACCTCATAATGTATTTCAGTTCAATGCAACATACCAGACTGCCAAAAATAGCCCCAAATAAATCTACACACCTCCAAAGCACTGAAATATAAAAGATTATTTAAAAGTTTCAGTTGCAAGGCTACAGTCTTCATTGGTGCTTGCAAAACATTGCAATTGTGTATATGTATTTATAATTTGTGCACCACAATTCAATAATTTAAAACCTGACAGATGCATATTCCTTTTCTTTTAGCAGTTTATTTTTTTGTAATATTTACTTTGTGGCCTACAATTTCATTATCAAAGCGTTCAAGGTTTATCTCCCTTTTTACCAGCTCTCTCCTCCCTCTTTTCCCACCTTCTCTCTTCTGCTTTAATCCCTCTTTTCATGTCTGCCATACATCCTCCTCCCCAATTCTCTCACTATCTCTCACTCTCCATCTTTCATTCCTTTCATTCTTCTTTCTTTCTCACTCTCCATCAAACCGTCAATTTAGCTCAAGCTCAACTGTGGGACACCCGGTGCTGTCAGGCCCAGCGACAGCTCCTTTGACCCGCTGGTCCACGTCCTCTCCTGGTCCGGACTGGTCATTAGCTCGGCAGACAGACACACACTGCCTCTGTGGAGCCAGACACGATGGTGAAGTGTCTGAAAGGGGAATTTGTTGCTCGTATTAAACAGCAAACCAAGAATCACAGATTGCCATAATGAAATTAACTCAACATGTGGCTAAACTACACAGGATGCTACTACCTCTGTGAAATGGTGCTGTTATGATCACAAATTAATACCAGTTGTAATTTCTCAATGAGCCAGAAAACTTGAGATAGACATAAATGAGCAAGCAGAGTTCAGATTCATATTTTCTCCAATTCACAACATCATGACTGAACCCCATTCCCTTCATAGCACAAGCTTCAATTCAAGCACACAATTCAGCTCTACACATCAGTATGGGATGGTTTGCACTATGTGTTGCTGCACTGCCCAGCTACAGTTCTGCTGATCTTTTCATCGTTTAACAAGGATTAATCACAGAGACTGTGTTGTCCCCGGGGGAAATTCTCAAAGGGATGTGTGTATTTCCAGAGAGCCAAGAATAAAATAGGCGCACCAGACAAAGTTATGTGGCCACATTGTTCCTGGGAGACAGTGAAGCAGCAGGAGTTCCCTTATCAAAGCAAACATCTTCCCAATTATGTTTGCTGCCGTGTAGATCCTCTAACTGCATGTGCTGGCACGGCACAATTGAGTTGCAATGAAGCACTGGCAGCAATGCAACACGTGAGACTGAGAAGAATAAATGTCTGGCAGTGCTAAATTAAGGTTATAGAATGATTTTTTTGTTTTGATCAGACTTGGTTTAAAGAATTAACGAGATGCCTGTGATCTATTTCTCTATAGCCATGACCCAATACTGTGTTAATTATATCAGTCATATTACTTATATTAATTACCCTGAAGAGTATCAAAAATGTACCAAAACATGCACATGATGCCCAACAAGGCTGGAACACCTAAAAACGTGTCACAGTTAGACCAGGTAAGGGTGATTTTGTGGGGGAAATTAAAGAGGGGTAATGCAAAGACATGCAATGGTGGGAGAAATAGTGGATTTTATACTTAAGTAAAAGTAGCATATGCTAAAGTGTTAAAATACCCTGTTAAAATGAAAAGGCATGCATTCAAAATAAAGTATATCATTTTATAAAGTATTATAAAGTAAACGTACATCAAAATATACGTAAGTACCAAAAGTAGAAGTACTTGTTAAGTTTAATCGCCCATTTTAGAATCATATTAATTCAATGGATTATGACTAGTGACGAGTTATTGTGTCACAGCTGGTAAAAGTAGCGCTTTTTTCATTACTTTTTATACTTATTATTTTTAACCTATAATAATAAATCACTGTAAATGTTATCATTTATATTTTGTTTTAGATAATAATGTAAATCTGCAAAGTGAGTAACCATGTGAGATAAAAGTAGTGAAGTAAAACAATATATTTGGCCTTTAAAATGTAGTGGAAATTAAGCATAAAGTAGCATAATATTAAAATACTCAGTTTAAGTACACAAGTACCTCTGAATTGTACTATAATGAGTACATGTACTTGATCACCTTCCACCACTGCCTGTATACAAGGTTTTTAACACCAGTCAATAATAGGCTAATCAAGAACAGTTTAGCCTAGGCTATCCAAGAAGTGTTGCTCACTTCTGCTACTGCTCATAACAGCCTTCCTTAATTATACAGAACAAATAAAGAACAATTAATATAGTGTTTGGATCAAATAAGGATAATTTGTGAAGAACAATACTTACCATGCACTATTTTGTCACACACTTCCTGGTCTTGAGGGGCACATGGGGTAAAGGGGAATTGGTTCCGTCTTAACGCTGATTAGACGTGCGGGACCTCAGAGGAGGACTCGCGGTGAGACGTGACGTCATGCTGAGCCGTTTTCCGGTTTGCTCGGCTGTCAGGTATAAAAGCTGCTCGGCGGGTCTCCGGTCCGCTGACGGTGAGAGGAGGCAGACAGCTGCAGCATGCCTTTGAACGGAGCAGGAGTCCAGCAGACTGAAGGCTCCACGCCAGCATCTCCCACAGGTAACCACACTTTAAGGGTCTATAACAGCTTTCAATTCACCTTATGGGGATTTAAGTGGAAATAATGGATTTTTGTAAACTTCAAATGAAGAAGCTTTTAGTTAATGTGCAACTTAACTCACCATGAACCATAATGTGTATCCATTCTTAACAAACTAATTTATTGAATTTCCATTTTAATGTACTAATACAGTTATTATTCATTTATCTTATTTATTTTTTGAATTATGCTTTACCTTTGGTTATTTCTGGTTGGAAACAGGTCAATGAATAAGCTGTAAAGTGAACAATTCTGCACATTATTCAAACTGTCTTTACAATGTTTTAGCTATTGTTAGCTATTATCTGAAAGTACCAAATGGAATAAAAAATAAAGAGAATAATTTAGACAGCTCAATGTTAGGCTTTAAATGATCTGTTCTTTGATATGAATGGAGCTAGATCTTTATGAATGTCCTTAGCTGTGAATAAGATACTAAAGAAAATACTAAATTCTGGTTTATCTAGATTACAGGAAACAAAACACATAAGTAAGTAAATACTGTGACATTTGAATGTTTTCTATACATCCCTGTGTACGCAAGGTGGAATATTCTTTATCACTTTTTTTTTCTCTCACAAAACTCTTCACTATTTCTTACCCTTGCGCCTGGGTGAAATTGAAGCTTACATTTTTCTTGCAAATATGTAAAGCACAACTCTGGTGATATTTTGCCAGACCTCTGTCCGAATGAGGCCATTTGAGTCCACAGCTCAGAGCCAGCCCGACTTAGCGGTGCCAGTCGTGACCCTCGACCCTGTGGTGTTACTCTGCTAAGAGTGCCAATGCCTCATTTGGCAAACTTCTCTCCAGTGGGATGGGATGGCATTTTACACATACAAGGAGCCTGTGTTACTCAGTGATCCTGATATTAACTTTTACAATCGTGTGTTCACACACACAGCACAGTGTAATGGTATAGTCAGATGCATGCATGAAAAGAAGCTTGACTCGCTGCCATGTGGGTTTTTTAGAAGCAAAGGAGGACAACATGACTGACAACGGCCACCAGCAGCAGTCTGATAACGGGTGCAACCACCAAAGTCCAAACCAGAACCACAAACCACAGCATGGAGACGGACCTGAGACGCAGACCCTGCCCATGCCAGTCCCAGACCCCCAAATTCAGTACACTAAGGTTTTTTTTGTAATCTTCATTTTAACGTGTATTGTGTATCTTGGGGGGCAGTCCTACTGGCATATATATTGTGAGTTGTATCATCTGGTCTGTATTTGCCCATGTCATTGTGTACCAGTCATTTTGTAAAATTTAGTATTTGTGGTTTACTTCAAAAAGTTAATGAATAATATTGTTTATCATCTTACAGAATAATAGATATGTGGTTTTAACAAGATGAAACAAAATTAACAATATAATATGTATTGGTGTTCTATAAGAAGGTGTACTGTTGAAGGTAATAACCTGGAAATACACTACAAGCTTTAAAACATGCAGATCTCTTCGAAGTTATCAGAGCATGCAGTACCACTCCCACTAAACACAGAGCCTTTTATTCATTCTGTCAGGCTGAAAAGAGCTGAGACTGAGAGGGGAATACCATCACTTCTTTATACCAAAATTAACTTGAAGAATCTAAGCATATTCGTATTTTCTAACTCTTCTCTGATATCATAGTTGTTCATCAATAACGAGTGGCATGAGTCCTGCAGTGGGAGAAAGATTCCTGTGTATAATCCCGCCACAGGGACGCTGCTCTGTGAAGTGGAGGAGGCTGACACAGTGAGTATTATACATCCATTTTCCCTGTTAACGGATTTTTGTTGAAGTTTTTCCTTATCTTGATCAAGGTTTTAAGTACAGAGGGAGTCATATACTGCTCTGTTTGTATAACCCCTTGAGGAAAATGTGTGATTGTTTGGTTTTGGGACATACAGTATGAATGGAATCAACCAGATTTTTCTGACCACCTCCTTACCTTTAATCTCTTGTAGGAAGATGTGGATGAGGCAGTGAGGAGTGCCAGAGCCGCCTTTCAGATGGGGTCACCATGGCGATCGATGGACGCCTCAGACCGAGGTCAACTACTCAACAAACTCGCTGACCTAGTGGAGAGAGACCGGCTTCTACTAGCAGTGAGAACGCACTACATAATGTCTCAATTTGAATGTATTCCCTTTACTCCTTTTTGGAGTGATATATCATCTGGTTATTACAGTAGAGAACTGGCACTTGTATTTACATTTCTGTGTTTTTACTTGTAGACACTAGAGGCTCTGGATTCTGGCAAAGTGTTTCTCATGGCATATTTTGTAGATCTGATGGCCACAATCAAAACTTTGAGATATTATGGTGGCTGGGCAGACAAGATTCACGGAAAAACCATCCCTGTTGGTGAGTCTCCATACTGCCATGTTTGTCAATTGCATGTTGTAACATAACAAATTCACAGGGTGTTCAAAGCTATCGTTATTGTTTTGTAGATGGAGAATATTTTACTTACACACGACATGAGCCCATTGGAGTCTGTGGCCAGATCATTCCTGTGAGTAGAAATACAGAGTTAATGATTATATATTATACTGACAGAAAAATATGGATGTTACAAATTGTTGCAACTTTAAAATGTTTATGTTTTTCTGCCAACAGTGGAATTTCCCGGTGATGATGTTTGCTTGGAAGATTGCTCCTGCTCTGTGCTGTGGGAACACTTTAGTCATCAAACCTGCAGAACAGACCCCATTATCAGCCCTGCACATGGCTGCACTCATCAAAGAGGTACCTGTATTATCACTGTTTCCCCCCTACAATGATACAAGAACAAAGAACATGTGGACAAAAGCTATAAACTTGCATTTATAGATTGCAGAGACCTACGCAGCTGTAAAAGTAGAAAGACTGCTAAAGATGTGTGTCTCAATTCAATATAAAATGGTGGCTCTCCCTCCGCCTCTCGGTGTTCAGGCTGGTTTTCCTCCAGGAGTGGTGAATGTGGTGCCAGGTTATGGACAGACAGCAGGCTGCGCCATTTCCCACCACATGGACATCGACAAAATAGCCTTCACCGGATCTACTGCTGTAAGTATCTATCTCTGCAAATGTATACTAATTTCTGTTGTAGTGTTTTGATTACACTGTGATTCTCACTCTGTCGCCCTCGGTTGCCAGGTTGGGAAACTGATCCAGAGGGCGGCAGGTGACAGCAACCTCAAAAGAGTCACCCTAGAACTGGGTGGCAAAAACCCAAACATTATCTTTTCTGACTGTGACTGTGAGTAGAAACTATTACTGGATTACTTCAAATAAATAAATGGACCATGAGTTTCTCAAAAACATTCAGAAGGATTCATACTTGGCTGGTGTACATATTTCTGAGACTGAAGGAAATGCAGTGTTGATACTGAGCTCTGCAGGATATATTTACTCTGAGATCATTTACAGGATCAACATACTTATTTATACCCATGATTTCCTAAACATTACCAATTATTTTGGTGCCTAAACTAACCAAACAGCAAATGCTTTGAGGGCGTGTCCAGTAATAGTGTCAGCCTGCTGATGGACTTTGGTAATATGTTTCTGTCACAGCGCTAAACAGCATGCTGTGTACAGCTTGCTAAGTAGGTGCAGTGTCAAGTGTATTGTTGTTTGGTTGAGCAGTTCTCCACAAAGCTGTTCTGAACAGGCATGTTTTTAAAGGGGCCTGATCAAGTACACTGTGGATCATAACAGGGATTGGATTTTTCAATACATTGTTCATGCGGACAAGATGCTTTACAATGGACTTGACTCTTTTTACTTTCATCTAAAAGCTGCACATGTCTATCTCACAGTAGAGCATGCAGTGGAGCAGGCCCACAGTGGCCTGTTCTTTAACCAGGGCCAGTGCTGTCTGGCTGGATCCAGGGTGTTTGTAGAAGAACCCATCTACGAGGAGTTTGTCCATCGCAGTGTGGAGAAGGCCAGAGGGAAAGTCCTGGGAAACCCACTGCTGCCGGGGGTTGACCACGGACCACAGGTACGGCATGAAGTTAGGCTACAGTATCTCTTTAAATGTCTCCACTACCACTTAACCGCACGTGTTATGTGCAAAGAGCACATTTGAATAGAGCTTTTGTTTTCTGCAGATTGACCAGAAGCAGTTTGATAAGATAATGGAGCTGATAGAAAGCGGGAAGAGGGAGGGAGCCACGCTGGAGTGTGGAGGGTCTGCATGGGGTCAGCAGGGACTTTTCATCCAACCCACTGTCTTCTCAAATGTCACAGATGACATGCGCATCGCCAAAGAAGAGGTAATGTGCTCTAAAACACACACCCACACTCAATGGATTATCTGTGTCCTCAATCTGCTACTGTGTTCTTATTTTGTACTCCACAAGAACATTTTTAATTATTGTCAAATGTTTCCCTCCTGCACGTCTCAGATTTTTGGTCCAGTGCAGCTGATCATGTGTTTCCGAACGACCCGTGAGGTTATCCAGAGAGCCAACGCCACGCAGTACGGCCTGGCAGCAGGAGTGTTCACTAACGACATCGACAAAGCCCTAACTGTCTCTTCTGCTCTGCAGGCTGGCATGGTGTGGTATGGACAACATCTTCTTAAATTCACCTAACAGTGATGAGTTGGTTAACAGTAGAGCTGGGGTATCTGCTGTGCAAACCCTCAAAGAAACCTAACTAAAGAAATATTAGACTTTAATAATATATTTCCATTTTGCGACATTTTAATGGCTTGTGTAAAATGATGGCACATTTTATGTAATGAATTGAAACTCTTTCTTTTAGGGTAAATTGCTACAATGCCATGAGTGTTCAGTGTCCCTTTGGTGGCTTCAAGATGTCCGGGAATGGGAGAGAACTGTGAGTAATACCATTATATCTCAGCTTTTGCATGACTTGTACTCAAAGGTGTACGTTTGGCTTCAGAGGTGTGGATATTTCATTGCATTGCATGTATTTAGCTGACTAATAAGACTGAATAAGTGTGTTCACCAATGTTGGACACACAATAAGGTCAGTATATTGCACTAATATCACCAATAAACCTCTTTCTACTAAAAGTCCTTTCACACATTATCTTGATTTGATGATAAATTATTGCATTACTTAAGGAGAATTATCTGTAAAAAAAAAAACATTTATCCTATTAGCTAAAGAAATAGAGTTGAGGAAACTTTTTTCAGCCCAAACCATGAATTGGAAATGTTGCTCATTTAATTTTGCTTACATAATCAGTGGTGTCTTTTGTTTTCTTTCAGGGGGGAATATGCTCTTCAGGAGTACACAGAGGTCAAGGCAGTCACCATCAAAATCTCCCAGAAGAACTCATAAAAGCGTAATTTCCAAGGACTGAATTTCTCATGTCATTTGAATTCTCTGCTGCCCCATGGCTTCACATCCACCACACACATTGTGCAATAATCATATTGCACCCGGATGTTTTGAAGGCATCATCAATTCTGTCTCTCCATGAACATTTACTACTGTAATTTCTCCTCTGATACACCTATTTTTTCAAATTTGTGTCTCTTAGCTTAGTGGCGATTCGTTTATGCATTTTCCTCTAGTGTGTATCTACATTTATTTAACTGTGGCTAGTGAACAGCATGTTCTCTGTAGTAGTCAGTTTTGTGTATTTTAACCCGTTTATATTCAGTGAAATAATTAATTAAATAGCACTTTGCCTGAAAATAATTACTTTTAATAGGTGTCATACAAAAAATAGAAATACATTTTACATACTATTTACATGGATTTACAAGGAACCAGTAAACCTTGCAATGCAGTAAACACAATCATGTTTTTTCTTTACAATGTGTTGTAGTACAACTAGAATTACAGATCATGTCTGTGTCCGACATTATGTGATTTAACTGTGTAGGCTGTGTCATTTAAATAATTATAGACATTTTAAGATATTAATTACACAGCATGTTTGAAAACACTAGTCATAGCGCCTTTCAAGGCAAAAAAGCTACTCTTAAATAAATTAATGAATATTTATAAATGTATTCTGTTGATCAATAAGAATCAATAAGAATAAAACAATCAGATTTTTGCAGAAACAACCTCCATGTACAGTATGACTGACTGCAGTGCTCATGTTAGCAGACATGTTATCTGTGGGGAATTGTAGGTAACGTCTGGATTTTAGTCCTTGAACATGTCTCTTATCGACTGGGATGTCCCCCCCGACCTCTTCCTCTTCCTCTCCCAGGTCCAGGTTGGGGACTCCTAGCATTTCCAGGAGGCCCTCTTCTTGGCCCCGGGGCGCGGGTGACTGGAGCCCTGGGGTTAGGGGCAGCCAGGGACACGTCCTTCTGCAGGTTAACTCCTCTTGCTGCTGCACCCGGCTTTATTTTGGGAGACTTGGCGCCTTTATCAACTATGACATCTGAGAGAGTAAAAAGAGCTGTGAGAAAAGTCGTGTGCAAATTGGCTCATGGCATGTGCATAAAGAAAGATAATTGTGTGTACCAGGAGGGGGCTCTTCCTCAACGGGAGGCGGTATTAGAGACTTGTTAGGCAGCAGGTCCTCCAGGTCTTTCATCACTTCATTAGTGCTGTCCTTGTTGTTCCTGCGGTTCTTCTCCTCGTCTCGGGCCTAAAGTTTCCACCGATTATTGAGACAGACATTTTTTTTATTGAATCTTGAACACAGTAAATATAATAAAAAAGATGGAAACAATATGGTGAGAACGCTCATACTGACCATTTTCATCTTCTTTTTAAGGTCAAGGTTTGCATTTTGGTATCCCTTTGACACTGCATTCAGGTAGTAGATCGCCAACCTGTTGTGCAGTGGTAAAGGTTCCTTAGGTTAAAGTTATAGTGTTAAATGTCACAACAGCTTAGACCAGAGTCAGGCTTTAAACACAAGGAAATAAACTAAGGTCACACCCTCCAAATGTTAATGTTTGAAGCCAAAAGAAAACAGATAACGGTAAACACACAAAATATAGAGATTTTAACATTTTGGACTTTAGTGCCCCCCTGTGGTAGTATGAAAAAAAACAATAGGACACAGGAGTGCATGCTACAACACACTGCCAATATTGTCTAAGAAGGATGTCATAATCACATGGAAACATTCAAACAAATCTGATTTGTAGAATTATGAATATGCAATGAAAATACACAAATAACAGATTTACTTCTGTAGTTAAGGGACATTTTAAAAGCTGAAATACAGAACATAAAATGTAATATTTTCAATGCCTTTATATATCTCCCTTTCTTATCCAGAACATGAAATAGCATTACACCTCAATTTGCCTTTTTTTTAGCAACAATACAACAAAATATTTTTCAGTCGATATATGAGAGATACTTACACCATGAGGAGGACAGCAGGCAGGATGAGTCCAGGGTTGGTGGCATATGTAAAAATGTTAGCCAAGAAAGGTGGCAGATCCTGTTCTATAGTCTCCATGATCACGTCGTACATTTTCCCCTGGCCACTAGGGGAAAACATGGATCAAATACAGAACACTGTTTGAGGTATAGCAAAGGTAATGTCAACCAAGTCGCAAATGTTACAAAGTTTTCTTTCTAAACTTATTCTGGTAGAGTGTTGTGAATTGATCCTTACAAATAAAGCAAATCAAACTAAACTGTGTTTTTGCACCAGTGTACTTCTAGGGCTGCAACAAAGTGAACATTTATAGTTTTTCACAAGCCAATAGTAGGCTAATGCATAAAAGGTTCATCATGTTCCACTTTAAATCATCATAACCAAAATAGGTAATACATTTGAGATACATGCTGTTACTGGAGTGTTACTGGAGGTTTCGGCAATTTATTTTCAGCTAAATGCGAATGACATCATACACAACATTCACACCATCTATGTTTAGCGTGTTAGTTTGCATGCTAATAGTTGCTTATTTGAATTTAACAAAAAATATAGCTGATGACGATGGGGACGGTGGGGATGGCATAAGCCTTTTCACAGTACAGCAAAAAGTGAACAATATGACCCTGTCACACTAAGACTTTGGGAACCATGACATTTTATGATAGTTGTTGAAATTGACCAATAGACATACTGCCAATACATAAAACATTTAAAAAGCATTGCATTTGGTTAAATAGACTCCATAGGTTTTAAATGGTGTTGGATAGATGCATTTAGTTAATTCACTGCATGCATCATGACGTATCACAACAGTCCAGCTTTTTTAATATCCATTTCAATATCATGTTGTTTTTTAATTCCACTGTCTGCATCGCTTACTGACCTGAAAGGCCCGCAGTCAAATGACGGAGACACGGTCATGATGGTGTAGACAACAGGCAGCAGACTGAGGAAAAGCACAAGCAGCAGCAGGCCCATGTAGAAGTTGTTAGACCGCGAGGCCTTGAAAACTCGCTCATGAGGAACGTTACAGCACATCACTGCCCAGCACTGGTAGTACATCGAGGACAGGAGACGCAACACGTTCAGACCCACCAGGCCTGGAGCGTAAAATGCTCCCATCCTTAGGAAAACAGCAGCAACATTATTTAGACAACATATAAACACAATCATTAGCTCTATTAGATGATACAGAAAGAGACAGAATATTAAATCAAGCATGCAGACGTGGGGTAATTCACCATATCATTCCTTGATTGAAGATCAGCCCCAGCACATTTCCACTGATGTCAAACTCTCCATATGAAGGCTGGAATCAACACAACCACATGATTAGAAAGCTCACATGACTTAATAAGAGCCACACTTGTTATGTTTCTCCTCTCTCTGTGACAATGTTTCTCTCTCTGTAATTAAGTTCTCTTTGCAGTGTCCTGTGTCACTGAATGTTAGGGATCAGCTGTCTTGCCAGATGTCATTGTATGGTATCAAGTTGAAAAGGATCCAATACGAACTGTGTTGTACTCAAACAGTGTTTAATAATAGCTGAATGGCATGGAAGCGATACATTAACAAATACTTAAAACCGTTTTTATTCACCATCATATAATGAACATTCAGCCACTTTAATGCAGATATGTTTAAAAACGATGTGTTTGAAGCACAAGACAAAGAAACTGTGTTATGTTTGTTGGTAAAAAAAAGAAAGTAAATGTATCAATCATTTAAATATTTGAAATAAAATTCACATATGTACACACTGACACACAGGAGTGCACAGGTACTCACAAATCCAGCCTCCAGGTCCCAGCACCAGCAGTAGTTAAGAAAGCGGACAATGACAGCTCGCGCAAAGTCACCAATCAAGATAGTTAAATATGTCACCTGCATGTCCGACACGATCAGCTTCACAAATCCCTACACAGGATCAGAAAGCAATGTGAAAAGCAGCAATAGAAAAATTAGACAACTGTTCTCTGCTGTGTGATTGAATGGATGGTCTGAAAAGAGGAATGATGCTGAAAACTGGAAAGAAATCTCACTGTCTAGACTCTACAGCATCTACTCCTATATGCATCTGTATTAGCACTCTCTAATTTCTCATTAACCATTCGACCAAAGTATAAAATATAAACCAACTACTGACTATTCCCACTGCATCCTCCCAGCAGGGTCCTCTGAGGACGTCCGCTGGGTGCACATTTGGAGGAGGCACATCTGTGGTGTTGTAATGGGAGCTGTAGTTGGTGTAGTATTGCTCAAAAGCCCAATCAGTGGCATTCTTGATGGACTTCTCTGTCTCCAACTGAAGAAGAGAAAACGCATTAAAGCATACTAAAGGCACCAATTCACACAATTCACACACAGAGATATACACCGTTTGCTGGATTCAGAGAAATTGTTGCATATTTCAGGAATAACTTTAAACTTTTTGGAGAGTTGGATGACAAGATCAATACCACTCTCATAATTCCTTGAAGCTTAAAAAAATGTGGTCCAACAAAAACTGTCCCTAAAACGGCAAATTGCATTTGTACACTTACAAACAAGAAAACAACATATCAAATTGTGATAAGGCAAATCTGTCACACCTTTTCATTAACCTCATCAAACAGGGCGAAGAGGAAGGTGTAAAGGTTTCCCAGGAAGAGGGCAAAGATTCGTCCCAGCTGCCACTTGAGGGCAATACGAGGGTGATAATCTTCCAATTCTGCGATGGTTTCAAACAGAGGAGGACACACCAGCCCCAGCAGAGACATCACAAACTCCACCTGATATATTACACGAGAGAGGGGGGGTTACTTATCTCATATTCCAAGCCTCAACAATTTCAGCTCTTTTTGTCATTTATAAAAGGATAATCCGTAAAATCATCATGAAGGTTAAAGGTGAACCACATATCTAAGGTCAACCTGCCTCGTTCTTTTCCAACCACGAAAGATTTTCCTTCTCCATTTTGGCAAAGTCCTGAGAACGCTTCACCACAAAGTAGATGAGGTATCCGCTTCCTCCCAGACTGCACATGATCAGAAAGTTTGCCAGGACCCTGAGGAACCGTCTGAGATGGATGTTCTCATCTTTCTGGTTCTCCTGCTCATCCAAAATGGATTCCTACAACGGGGCAAAAATAAATCAACAAAGTTTCAATTAATAAAAACTCAAAAGTGTTTTGGCATATAGTTGAATATTCCTGTCACTATAAAATCTTTCAAATACAACATATATTGCTAAATGGCTAAGACTTTTGTTGGTGAGGAAATTATCTCAAGTTCTTCCATGACGGATTTTTTTTATGTATGATTGTTTGATTTTTGTGTTTTTCTTGCTCATGTTGCAATGCGCATCTCCCAACACAAACACACACACACACACACACCTGCTAACCTTGAAGCTGGTTGTAATGGAGGCGTACTTATTGTCTGCAGTCTCTGGGTTTCCTATCAAGTAATCCCAGCTGGTGAACATCTTCCAGCTGAAAGTGAACTCTCCCTCCTCCGCACCGTCCCCTCCTTCATTGGCGTTACGAGCCATCCTGCGAAATTAAAATCCCCATATTGAAAATAAACAAACATCTCTTTCCTTTGAGGTACATCTGATTGTTTTGTGTCCTGCCTTACGTTCTTATGACAACCATCAGGCTGTATCCAAAGATGCCAACGCCCACCAGCAGGTATGACAGTGGGAGCCTGA